TTATAATTTAATAAAAAACATGAATTTTTTCTCCAAAATGCTAATAATAATTGTAAAATATTATTATTTTTTGTATGTATTTGAATTTTCAGAAATATATATAATTGAAAATACTGAAAATATTGAATTTTAAAAAATTAGAAGCTAATTTTCCTTTTTTAAATTTACATTTCAAGATTTTTCATTAAAATTCTTGATAATTCAATTATTTTAAAAATTTTAAATTAAAACTCATAAAAACTTGATTTTTAAAAATTGTAACAAAATACTTGAAAAAAAAAATGAATTATTTTCAATTAAATTTTACAAAATTTCAAATATTTAAAACGATTTTTATTATAGATACATTTGAAAAATTTAATTATCTTAACAAATTATTGAAAAATTATTCAAGAATAATTTTTGAAAGATTTGGTTATAGTTATTTTTCGTATTATAAAAATCGAAATAATTTGCATTTTATACTAAAAAACTGTGGTATTTCGTTGCAATATTTATGAAAGAAAAATCAAAAAGTCAAAATTTTTGAAAATCGAAAAAAATTTCAATTTTCTTAATTTTCCTGACAAAAAATTTTTTTTCTTATCATTTCCCTAACTTTACTGACAAAAATTTTGTTTTCCTGACTTTTCTTCACATTACTGACATGTGGCCATCCTGATTTAAAATATAAAGGAAAAACCAGAATTTAAAAAAAATTGTGTAAATTAACACATCAAACCAGAGACTGTGTCAAGGTGAAGGCGCGTCTTTGATTCAATCTGGTGAAAGCTGATTAATAGAAAAACCCTCCGAGTTTTTAATTTCTTTCTACCATTCCCTCCCCCTCGGGAAATCTAATTTTCATCTTCAAAAAGTAGTCGATTCGATTTTACAATCAAGAAAAACTAATTCAACTGAAATCAAATTGAATTAAACAGAAATCCTATTTCGGATTTGTCGTCAACACGAAAATCACAAAAATCGTGAGGATTAAAGAAATAAGTAAATTTTCCCAATCAGACAATATTTAATTAGGGAAAAAAAGATTTTCCGAAAATTTTTTCTTAATACCTCAAAGGAATCGGGAAATTAATATTTTAATTAGGCTCGTAATAGATGTGATGTGTGAGAAAAAAATGAAGTACCAGCATTTTATCGTTTTAATGAATCATTCTGATTCATTGGTTGTTAGATATGTACAAACAACTATTTCTCTAAAGATGTGTTTGCTGACGCAGAAGCGACAAGTTTGAGGAACTTGTTGACGCTAAACACTATTGTGGAGGGTTGCGAAGTATCAAAGAATTTCAAAAAGGCGATGACATCATGAATATCGTCATCATTGCCCCAGACAATTTTCTTATCAAACATGACATAAGTTCCTTCTCAACTTCTCCTCTCACCAGAACAAAAAGAACAATGTTCAATTTTTCATGGAGTAAATTATAATAATAATTATATTATTTCACTATATTCGACATATCTTTTTTCGACTCATTCTTCAGATTGTAAGAATTAAAATATGCTGCTTTTTTTCTTTTCGATGAAATAATTATCGATCGGGGAAATATGGAGTCGAGTTTCGAAGAAAATCGAAATGTTACTTGATGCGTTATGTAAATCCTTTTGATAAGGAAAAAAAATCGAAGAAACTGGTTATCGTTTACGAGGATTGGAAATTTCTGAACGTCAAGAATCGTTACAACGAGATCCTTAATGAAGAAACAAGCTTTTCTAGTTTTATTCAAATTAGAAGATGACAATTTCGTTTCTTTTATTCCCTTTTTTTTTGTAAATCATCGTCATTATTAAGAAAAACAGCAGTAGTGGTAGTATTGTTTTGCAACGGTTTTTAAACGTCTGGAATTTCAAGTTGCACGACTGGGTCACTGTCATTTCCAACGGTATTCACTTAAGAATATTCTTGCTTCTATCCAACATACCAGTGTGTTTAAAAAAAACCCTTCTCTCACAAATCCCTATTTCCTCTGCCATAAATTTTCTTCTCCTCCATCTCAAACATCTTCTTAGAGAATTTCGAACCGGATTCACAAACTTTTTCGTTAAAAAGGAAATTGCGTCAACTCTTGACTCGAAATGTAATTCACCTAAAAAATACATTTGCAAAATTTCATTACTTTCGGATTTATATTAGAGGAAAAAAAATAAAACGAAATTAACATGGAGAAAATCATTGAAAGTTGTCCACATCGACACTTTTATCAAAAGGTTATAAGACAAGAAAAAGAAATATACTGTAAAATTTCAGGCTTTCTAGGATTTCCAGATGACTGATTACTGTAAATATATATTTTATACTCCCGGGGAAACATTCTTTACTAATATGATTAAATACCGTTGAAAAATGAACAATGCCCACTGATCAAGTAGTCGAGCATGAAGTTGAATTGGATAATTAACTCCCTCAACATAATTAATCAATTACAGTTCTTGTAAATCATTTTTATAATTTACGGAAGTTGGTGTTTTTTAATAAAATCTCTTTATAAATACTAAACGGAAGTTTACTATTTGGGAAGTTAAGGAAATTACGGAAATTACTAGCGATAGTTTTATTTCTTTACTGTAATAATTAAAAATATCGATAGTTTATGAACCTAATATTTAGGAAACTATCAACTAATTATTTCTTAACAGAGCCATTATCTAATTAACTATCGACTATTAATTATACAAACAATTAACAAATATCGACTATAAATTATCAACTATCGACTGTTAATTATCAACTATCGATTTAGACTGTTAATTACGAGGTTAATTATTAACTATAGACTGTTAATTACAACTATCAACTGCTAATTATCAACTAACAATTACGTTCGTCTATTAACTATGAATTATCCCTTTTTTCCATTAATGAAAAAAACCAATTTTTTCTTTTACTTCGATATCAATTTACATGATTTTAAACTTGATAAGTCATGATATTCTCAGAAATGTTCAAAGAAACGAAAAAATTATTATAGAGTTAAAAACTTTACGAACTCTATTAATTTCTTTTTTTTTCATTAATCAAATATAAAGATTTAATTTAACTTTATGAACTCTTTTAATTTTTTCTGATTGTTAATAAAATATTCAAGAATATAATCTACAAGTATTGAGCTTTTTAGTAAAAACTTTTTATTAAGAAAAATACTACTTTTTATTAAAAATAAAATTCAAAAATTACTGATTGCAATAAAAAGTAAAAACAAATTTTACATTTAGAAACTGAAATTAATTTTTTTTGATAGAGGCACAAAATTATTGCAATAAAAATTTAATTTAAAGAACAAAAAAAAAATAAATTTCGTTCATTTGAACGTTCAGAAATTTAGGATTATAGAAATTTTCGATTTTACACTTTTTCTCAAAGAAAATAAATGGGATAAAAAAAATATTTAAGCAAAAATTAATCAGGGTTGCCACAAGTCAGGGATATCAGAGAATTCAGAGAAAAGTCAGGGAAATTAAAATAATATAAATTTCAGAAGGTTTTAAACTAAAATTTTTGAAAATTTCAAGTGCTGTGAAGAAATTAATAATAATTAAATATTTAAATATTAAATAATTAAATTTATATTTAAAATTATTCAAGTTTTAAATAATTTCGTATAAATTTTTTAAAAAAATTGGATTTCTAAGAAATTTTCTTTCAATTGTCTAGATACTTGAATTTTGAAAAAAAAATTTGTTAAAAAATTAGCAAATTAATGATAAAATTTGTTAATTACATAAATATTTATTTTCAAAATTAATCAACTTTTAAAATAATTTAATTTAAAATTCTTAAAATTTTAATAAAAGTAATACAATTTGTTAATTAAATTTTTACTTTCAAATTTATTCAAGTTTTGAATAATTTTATTTAGAATTATGAAAAATTAAATTTCTAAGAAATTTTAATTCAATTGTTTACAGATTCTTGAAGTTTTTGAAAAAAAATTATCAAATTAATTGAAATTTTGTGAAATTTTATTAAAAATAATATAATTTGTTGAAAAATTTCATTAGAGATTTAAAAAAAATTGAAATCTCAATGAATTTTAATTCAAAAATTTATAAATAATAGAATTGACTTTTATAATGAATCGCAATTTAATGTACATTTTAATATGTTTGTTATTATAAAAAACAGCATTAAAGATTCTAAATTGTATATAAAATAATTTAATTACAAAAGAGTTACAATTACAATTTTTATTAATTAGTTAATTTTAAAAAGATTTAAATTGCAATATTTTTTTAATAAAAGTTTCGAAAAATTTTATTTAAAATTCTGAAAAATTTGGTTTTACAAATCTTTTTTATTCTATTTTTGATAATTGAATTTATAATTGGATTTTTATAAACAAATAATTGAAAATTTGTAAAATAATTGAAATTTCCTTAAAATTTTATTAAAAAATAATTGAATTTCTTTGGAATTATTATTAAAAATAATCGAGAGAAGTTTCATACCTACAGTAACTAATTTCTCTTATTATTTAAATTTTTTTATAGAGAAATCAGGCAAAAATTAAAATTCTATCTGGAAATGAGGTAAAAACGAAATCAAATTTTTTTGTGGCAACCTTGATTAACGATTTTTAGTTAAATAAAATAACTAGTAAAATCAGCAAAAACCTCTTGTACAAAGTTAAAAAAACTCCATTTTGAATCATCTTTTACGAAACAAAATTTATCTTGTAATTGATGAAATGCTCTTATGAAAGAATGTTTAAAATGATCTTATCAGTCCTCGTACATGATGAGGAGAGAAAAATAATTGTCTTATCAATGATTACGCTAATTATAGAATCAAGATTAATCAAGGGAGTAAAAGAAGGTAATTTTCCTTTTCCCTTTTTTTCAAAACAGAGGTGAAAGTTTCCCCCCCCCCCAGAAAAATGAAAGGGATGAGATGATGATACCCAAAATGGGTTTTTCACTCATCCTTCTACCTGGAAGTAATTCAGAAAAATTTTCCCCATTATAATAGTTGGAGAGGAAAAAAAAATAATAAATCTTACCTTCTTGTAAAGTTTGATCCAGGTAAGGTCGCCTTTAACATCCGTGTACTGAAGACCAAAGAACCAAACTTCCCTGAGTCCAATGGTCTTGACAACTTGGTCAAAAAGCTGCTTGCCCGTGGTAGCCGGCTGGATCGCAAACTCCAGCTCGGCATCCATAGTCGTCACCCTCACGTTTATCTTGAAAGAACACAAAAAACATTTTAATCACACAGAACTTTTTTTATTTCACAATTAATTAAAATCTATTATTTCGAACTTAAAAATTCAAAATTAAAAAAAAAACCACAATAATTTGATAAATTTTCGCCCCGAAATTTTAAATTCAAAACTGGGTCAAAAGCGAAAAAAAAATCATCTTCGCAAAAATATATATTTTTTTTGGGACAAAAAAAAACATTTAAAAAACTAAAAAGAAGAAAAATGCCAACGGACGCTTGACGCGATGATATTTTAACGGACGCGCCACAATGCTTACCATTTTCGTACCGGCAACCATGATTTTAAACGATTTCAAATTCTATTTGAAAGGCCAAGGTTTTAATAATAAAAGAAGATATATTAAAGAAAAAGAAACTTGATTTTAATATAATTTCCCTTGTGGACGAGACTTTCGCGAACACTTGAGGATAAATTGAAGATGGGTTTTATTTTTTGGAGTAACCGTTTTTGGAGCACGTATATCCGGGGCCTGATCGGTTTAGTTTGCCGGTCTAGACGAGGTCGAACAATGGGCCAAGGGGCAAGTGCAACTGGCGTGTCTCCCTCCTTACGACCCTCTCGACGACTAAACCACTCCTCTAGTCAATGGCGTAACACAAGTAAATTTTTTACATTTATCCATCCATATACACACCAGTTGAGGCCTTAAATCAACAAAATCAATTCGCAAATATCTTGATAAGATATTGTTACTTCAATAATGCAACTGATTCTTTCACGATAAGAGCAAATACGATATACACTACTTAATGAACTCATTTTGCAAAAATATTGCTCCTTCTTTTTTTTTTTAACGAAACTTCAGACTTCGCACTCGATAATTTAAATTTTATTATTGTTTATTTATTTTATTATTATTACATTGACAAAAAAATTTAGATGATTCAAATAACCAATTATTTGTCTATTATCAAATAAATATTTATTTTGATCAAATAATTTTTATTTAAATCATTTAAATGATATTTCATTTGCCTCAATTACTGAAATTATTGATTCAAATAAAATACAATTTAATTGACTCAAAAATTATTTGATTTAAGTGAATGCTTATTTGATAATAGACAACTAACCGGTTATTTCATTCCAACAATTTGTTTTTCATTGTATTTCTTTAAAATTTATTATTAACCAAATATAATAATTAATTAAATTTAATAACAATTTTCAAATTGTTGGAAATTTAATTTAATCTTTAAAAAATTATTCACGGGAATTTAATATTCTTCAAAAAATTTAATTTAATTTAATTTAATTAATTAATTTAATTTAATCCAAAAAAATTAAAATTTTTAATAATTTCAATACAAAATCTTTTGAAACTTAATTATTTATAAAAATTAATGCTATAATACTTCCAATAATGAATTATTATATAAAATTATTTTAACTAAAATTCATTTTTAAATAAATTATTTTCAGAATTCAACTACGAAAATTTAATTATCAAAATACAAAAATTAATAATTGATAAAAATAATTAAATATTTCTTAAAATTAAATTGTTATGAAGAATTTTATTAAAATTTAATAAAATCTTAGAATAATTTCATTTTTTGAAAAAATTATTTCAAATTGTATTAAAAATAAAGTAAATCCTGTGAATAATTTTATTATTTATTAAAGTAATTCAATTTTTTTAAGGACTTTTATTAAAATTTTCTAAAAATAATTGAATTTTGTCAAAAGAAATTTTATTAAAATTGAATTGAAAATTATTTTAAATAATTCAATTTTTTTAGAACTGTTATTCAAATAAAATTTAAAATAATTGAATTCCTGCAAATAATTCTATTATTTTTATTTGTAAAAATAATTGAATTCTTGAGAAAAATTTTATTAAAATTTTCTAAAATAATTAAATTCTTTTAAATAATTTTATTGAAAAAAAAGAAAATAATTCGAATAATTTTAATAAAAATTCTATTAAAAATAATTGAATTCTTATATAATTTATGAAAATTATTAAATTCTTTCGAGGAATTTTATTAAAATTAAAATTTTTTTCAAATAATTTAATTAAAATTGCATTAAAAATAATTGCATTCTTGCGAGAAATTTTATAAAAAGTATTTGAAATAAGTGAATTCCCCGTGAAAATTTTATTTATGAAAATAATTGAATTTTTGCGAAGAATTTTATTAAAATTTTTAAAAATAATTTTTTTATTTCAACTATTAGCGGATTTAAAATAATGCAAATTCTCAAAAAAAAGAAAAAAAGTAACTTTTAGTGTCATAAATTTAAAAGAAAAAGTATTCAAATAGAAGCAAATCGTAAAAAAGTAGTAAATAGTAGATTTTAGTAGATGAGTGCGAAGCCTGCGAAAGTCACTACAATTTCTTTTTTGCTTTTACAAATACTACTGATAATTGAAAATAGAAGAAAGGATCCCACAAAATCCCATTCAAATCATATTTCAATTTTGTTCGTTTCTTGGAGTTTTCAAGTTTCCAACAAAAAATAATGACAAATGTTCCAAACTAAATCCAAAATCAAGAAATATTGAAAAAAATCCTACAATTCTCAAATCTGCAAAAAAAAAAGAAATTAAATTAAAGAAAAATTAGAGAAAAGAATTTTTTCTATTTTCCAAAAATTGGAAAAAAAGAAAATAAAATTCGAAAGCAGAGTCACTTGTTGATTATACTGATGAAAGTTGGAAACGTAGATTAATTTGAAATGTACTTGAATGGAGATTGGTTTAGGTTTTACGCCATTGCTCCTATATAGACGCGTTCTCGCTGTTTGCTGTTTTACCATTTTGGCGAAAGAGAGAGATCGTCCAAGACAGTGAACAAAGATGAAACATCTTTTACAGGGTCACGCGACTCCAAGAAACTCGCACCATGAAGCGATATATACCTGGTGCCAGCGAGGAAGGAAAAGATACTTCCTTCCCTTATTATACTCGAAACGTTTTCACTCCTAATTCTAAAAAGACTCAAGCAAAACAAAATATGCACGCAAAGAAAAAAAAATAAAATCCTTAACACTGGGTCAAGGCGCAAACACATACAAATTTATGTATTTTCAATTCCAATATGAATAAATAATTTGAAAATCAATTCACTCCGAAAAAAAACAATTCTCAAAATATTCAAAACCAAATAATATAGTTGGAAATTAACATCTTTATCAGTAAATAAATAAATAAATTAATACAATCCTTCCTCTATGAGAAAGCAATTAATTAATTAATCAATAAAGAAATAAATTAATTAATGAAGAAATAAATTAATCAATAAATAAATATTTGGGTATATTGAATAAATATTCATCTGAATATTCGGAGAATTGTTTATTTTTTACCAGAGAAAAATTAGCGAATTTTTTTTCAAATGCAACATTTGCGAATTAAAACAAGGTTTATTCTTCTTTCGTGATGTGAATGACTTTATCTAATGATAACTATATAAAAGATCATAAATTATATGGTACTTTTATGTATCTGGAGGTTGTAGAATAAATAACGAAAACCTTGATAAAAAAAGAAAAAAAAAATGCACGCGACCATGAACGGAAAAAGACAATAACTTATTCCTCCTGTTGGTATTCTTACATCATTTTAATTTGACATTGACGTTACAAAGATGAGTACTCGCTTTTTAAATTTTTTACTATTCTTTTTACCTTATTTACTTATTTACATTTTCCCCCAATTGGAAAATGAAAATGAATTTCCCCTCTTTTACAAAAGAGTAAAAATAGTAAAAATAAATGTAAAATGAGTAAAAATAGGACAAAAAATTGTAAAAAAGAGTAAAAGTAATAAAAAAAATTGTAAAAAAGAGCAAAAAAAAAAATTATAAAAAAGTAGAAATAGTACAAAAAAGTAGAAAAAAAATAAAAATAGTAAAAAAATAACGAAAGGAAAAATAGTAAAAAAAACTCAAAGTAAATAAAAGAGAAAAGAAACTCGTAAAGTGCGGAAAATATGAAATTTTAAGTTCGAAAAAGGAAAAAGGGATCATCCCATTATTTTTCTCTATAAGTTAATGAGAATATAAACATTTTATGATGACAAACCGTATTAAAAGATAACACATAATAATAAGTATAAAAAAAAAACATTTTCGTTTCCTACCTGTATAAAATATAAATATAACAGTAAAATTATCATATCTCTCAAAGTTCTAAACGTTCATTATAAATAATAATTTTTATTGCAAATTGAATTCTTTTTATTTATAGTCCTTGTTTTTCCATTCTGCACGTATTTTACTTTATTTACCTAATTCTTTATTATTTTTTCCCCAATAATGGAGAATAATAATTTAGAAAATTATAATTTTTCCAAAATATAACAAGAAAAAAAAAAATTACTCCAAAAATAAAAAAAAAATACTCAGTATAATATAAAAATTAATATTTTTCTCCAACAATTTGGAGAATAATGTAGAAAATTACATTTTTTCCAAGTATTTTGAAGAATAATATTATAGAAAATGATAATTTTCCCCAAAATTTGGAAAAAAATACTCAATTATATAGAGAATTATAATTTTCTCGAATAATTTGGAGAATTATAATTTATTCCAAATAATAAGAAAAATAAAATTCTCCAAAAAAAAGAAAAATAAAATTTCTCCAACAATAAGAAAAATATTGAAGATAATATATAGATATTTATATTTTTCTCCAATAATTTCGGGAATAATGTAGAAAATTACATTTTTTCCAATTATTTTGAAGAATAATATTCAGGAAAATTATAATTTTCCCCAAAAAATTGAAAAAAATACTCAGAATAATATCCTATAGAAAATTATATTTTTCTCCAATAATTTGGAGAATAATTTAGAAAATTACATTTTTCCCAATAATTTCGAGAAATAATAAAATTTCCCTCAATAATTTGAAAAATATGGAAAATTATATTTTTACCATTTTTACCCAATAAATTCGGAAAATAAAAACGAAACTATTGATAAAATAAAGTAAAATACGGAAATGTTTGCAATTATTAAATATTATTTATGGCAAAAATTATTAATTATAATACGACTTAGAACGATATTAATTAAAATTAATTAATAAATTAAATAAATAAATAAAAAAAAAAAAGAATCAATAGAAATTCATCTCGTTGAAAGAGAAAAAGCATCAATTACCTACATATAATAAATAATTAATAAAGAAAAAAAAGAAATAAAAAGCTGTATTTGTTTTCTATTTATTTATTTATAAACAATCTACGATCGTGAGATCGTATAATAATCGTATTGTTTTATAATAAATAAAAAACAAATACCGCTTTTTTTGAACGTTTATTACTTTGAAGTCAGTAAAACACTGTAGAATATATTGAACATAAATATGTGACATTATGTGAATTAAAGTTAAATGAAAAGAGAAAAGCAAAATAGTTTTATTTTAACACACCTGTTTCGGCATCTTGACGATTGTGTCTGTTTGTTCTGCAACTCGTACAGACAGTCAACCTACAACAAATATCAATGAAGAATGTGTAGTTCATTCCGTTTCACATTTCACAAACCTACTTGCAAGTATCACGTGTTCAAGAATTTATCTAAATCTAATAATTCTTCATTTTTGCACACAATTTTGATTTAAAAAAAATACACGAAAATTAAAAAAAAAATATTTAGTTCTCTAAATCTAAAAGTAATAGTAGTATATATAATTATAACTTAAATTATTTTTGTGTAAATATCTAAAAATAAATTATAAAGGAAAGTAAAAATCGAAAAAAAAACTATAGATAAATTTAAAAAATAAACCAATAATATAAGTATCGAGGTAAAGGTGATAATTTAGTCAAAAAAAATATCCAGGCAGTAATGCAATAGTTCTGGATTAATGTTCTGACAATGAAAACTGAAAAAAAAGAACTGACCGATTTGTGAGGGGACAAAAGGCACGTATGCATGTCATAATGAAAGAGTAATAATGTCCACAAGTTAGAAAGAAAAGAAAGATTATAATGCAAATCCACATGGCCTCTGTATAATATTCTCCATGGTGCAAAGGTATTTAAACTTTTATCCTCCGTGAAGTTTTACGTTCATTGAACTGTTAGAATTTATAATCCAATCATTTTTCTAATCTTCTTAATCCTATTTTGAAATAAAACATTTCCAGAATAAATGACAAAAACGTTCAAATTTACGTTCGTTATATCAAATTATTAAAACAAGATTGTAAAGATTGTAAAGTTTTCTATAAAAAGGAAAAAAAAAGTTTCTCTTTAGGAAAAAGTAGTTTGATTTCATTGAGAGAAAAAAGAAATACCATATGGTGCAATATAATGGAAAAGGAGAGTTAATGTAAATTTAGAAAATTTCTACCTAAAAATTCATTTTCTAAAAAAAAAATCTGTCTTCTCTTCTACATATATATGTATGTTAATCATGTGAGAAGATCCCTTAACCGTTGCAACAGAAACTACTATCTCTAACTGTTCAGGCTCACTTTCAAGGTCATGGCTTTGGCACGTCCATCGATATACGACATACCGGCAAATTTTTCACTACAAGATGCAATTTCATTATCTCTTTTATGCAAAATTAATTAATGAGAATATTAATCTAGCGCAGGGATATAATTGCGACAGAGAAACTGTTAATAAGAGTTTAAAGAGGGGTTTTTTTTTCACCACTAATTACATGAAATGTTCCAAAGTTTACAAAGCATTAAAAACAATGCTTTTACAAAATTTTAGATTAAAAAGAATTTTCCTTCCCAAAAGTATACATTTTTTCTCCTTCGTAAATTAGTAACAAATTCCTGAGAAATCCGTCAGAAACAAAATACTCCAAAAAATTATTGTAATATTTAGATCAAAATTAAAATTACCAAATTTTGAGGTTAGAATAGAAAAAGAAAATTAACTACTCTAAATTATAAATCAAATACTAAAAAGGAATGAATCCGAAAGAAATTAATGTGTGCTAAATGAAAATAGCGTATGAATCAGCAATAGTTTTCCATTATACTTTATAATAATGATAATAAGGGAGCAATGTTGTCGTGTCATCGGGAAAAATGTCAACATTTCTAAATTTCCAGTTTTCTTTTTTGTTACACTATTTATACGGATCTATCAACACACCAATCAAGATTTAATCGTGACGCGATTTCTGTACCTTTAGTTGGAGGCAACCGTTAAGGAAATATGAGAGATTGAAAATGCCCGCGGGCGAATATCGACGATTATTTCTTAACCTCACAAAACAAGGTGGAGAGTAATCGATATTATGATGAAAATTAATCAGGAACATTGTAAATCAATTAAAAATGAATAAACTGTCGTCTTTATTACGGAAATTGCATGGGAAAAATGTGTATTGTCTGAGACTTATCCTGTCTGCTCGGTGCCGCCCGAGAGTTGAAAGATTTTGCGCTTATTTTCACCTTTAACTATTTTTATTTTATTATTTACTTTAAAACATATTTTTAAAAACACATACCACTCATTCAAAAATGAAACAATGCCACTTGTTACTGTATATGGGGTCGGGAGAACCAAAGGAAACCGTCAGATCCACACCCAAAAATCCCGTCACGTTGAACAAATACTGACACCTCACTGATAAATATGGCCGCCGCCCGCCCGCTCATGGAAAAGTGGGGTAAGCCATAAACTATGTGAAATATACGTAGATGGACAACCGCCATTTTTGAAAATTTTAAACATATCCAACAGTCGATAATAACCGCGAAATTCAAATTTCTCACGATTTATTTTTTTTGTTTTAATATATTTAGAAATTTCTTTCCAAAAATTAATTGTCTTATATTTAAACTCGAAAATTGATAAATGCAGAGGAGATAATTTTTTTTTTTAATTTTCTCTAAATTGAAAATTGAAAAGAACCGCGTAAACAGCGCCTCTTTTGGGAGAAAGTGATAACAATACAGATGTACGTACAGTCAGTACAAAAAGTGACTGAAATAGTTAAGTGACTATAGGTTAAGTTTATTTTTCAAAAAATAACTTTTATAATATTGTAAATTGTAAATTATTGACTGGAATAATATTTACTGAAACTATTGTCACAATGGATTCAAATAAGAGGAAAACCAACTGGTATAGTAATAACTATAAAAAGAGGAGACAATTTTCATTCGAACCCGGTATGAAAGGATTCCTGTGCACGTGCAATTTTCGTGAAAAAGACTGCATTCGAGATGTTTATAAATTATTGAATGAATATTCTGATAAGCTTAATAACATCGAAAAGTGTCAGGTATAAAATTATAAATTCAAATTGTGTATATTTATAATAATTCTTTCGATTAGTTCTTCACGTAAAAAGAAAAAAAATTATAATTTTTGCATTATACGAATTCTAATTTCTTTCTAATCAAAGAAATAAAAGTATAAATTTATTCATAAGTATAAATAAATTTATTATACATTTAAATAAATATAAATTTATTTACAGAATGACGATGTTGTTAATGAAACAAACTCGCCTGATGATGAAGATATTTCAACAGCTTTAAGTAAGGAAATTGATGAACTTCAAGCTGATGCAAAGCAAGGGTCGAAAAAAAAGTTTCAAGTAAATCTATTGAATTTATTCATAATAAAATTAAATGCAAAAATAAGTAGATTATATTATAGAGTTTATTTTATAGGTAATAGAAACGGGAGTGAAGAATGTTCTCTTTATTCAAACAACAGTTCCCGATCCATTAAACTTGGCAATAAGTATTATAAAAGATGTATTTGAAACTAAACAGCAACGTTCCAGATTTCTTTTGAGATTAGTACCCGTAGAAATCGTCTGCAAAGCAAATATGGATGATTTAAGATCGAAAGCTGATGTAGTTTTGGAAAAGTACTTTTCCCAGGAGCCAAAGACTTTCAGCATTGTATTTAAGTTAGTATAAATAATATCTTTTTATTTAAAAAACAGTTTCCATAATTCAGGGAATTGTGGAAAAAAGCAGGGAAAATGAAATTCTAAGGGGAATATTATTAAAAGTGCTGGAAAAATCAAATTTCTAAAATTACGACAAAAAATTTTGGTTATTTTGGTATTGATAAATATTTTTGAGAAAGGCCATGAATTATCATTGAATTTTTTATCACTTGATTTCTTATTTTTGTAAATAATTAGATTTATTCTAAATAATTAAATTGTAGAATAACTTTTTTTATTAATTACATATATAATTAACATAAAAATGATTTTAGTTAAAATCAGTTGCAATTTTCGAAAATAATTAAATTTTTGAAGAATTTGAACTAAAATTTTTAAAAATTTTAATTGCTGTGAAGATAATTAAAGATTTTATTTAAAGAATAATTTCATTTTTGAATATGTAATTAAATTTAAAATTCTGAGAAATTTGGATTAAATTTCTTAAAGGTATTTGAATTTTTAAGTAGATTCTATTCAAGAATTTTAATGAATTAAAATTGTCTTGAAATTGAATTGAAAATAAATAAATTTGTTAACTTATTAAAATATTTATTTTTAAAATTTATTAACAAAACTATTTATTATTTAAATTAAAGTAAATAATAATTAATTATTTTATTACCTATATGTATTTAATTTTAAAAAAATTTTAACTTAAATTGGTTTTAAATTGAAGTTTCGAGAAATTTTACTTTAAATTCAGAATAATTTGAATAATTTCAGATTTAAACTTTAAAAAAATTCAATCATTAACTAATTTACTAATTAATTATTCTAGTTTATTAATTTCAAAAATTTGAATAAATGTCTTCGCAAGAATTCAATTAATTTCATAACTAATAATATTCTTCGTAAGAATTCAATTATTTTTACAAATAGTAAAATTTTTTGCAAAAATTCTATTACTTTTAAACAAAATTTAAATAAAATTTTACGAACGAATACAATTATTTTCTAAAGTTTAATAAATCCTTTAAAGCAATTCAATTATTTTTTTAAATAATAAAATCTTTACAGAAATTCAATTATTTTCTAAAATTTTAATAAAATTCAATAATTAAATGTTCAATTTCTATTACCAATAAACATGATTATTTTAAATAATTATTATTATATATTTTTTTAATTATTACTAAATTAATTTAATTTCAATTCATAAATAAGTAAATAAAAATTAAGAAAAAAATATAAAATTAATTGTTAGGATTGTTATTACATAAGGTTTATAATATTTATATTTATTATGTACCTAATGTTTTAAAAACATGTAAAATAATTTATTTTACAGTCGACACAGCAACAGTAATATTCAAAGAAATGAAGTTATCGAGGACCTGGCTAGTATTATATCAAACAAGAATCCAGGAAACAAGGCGGATTTAAAAAATCCCGAAATCGCCGTTATTGTTGAAGCAATTCGAGGTTTCTGTCTAATTTCCGTGGCGCCTAATTATATGTCATTGAAGAAATATAATTTATTAGAAATGTGCAATCCAACTCCACAGAAAAATAACGAAAAGGTATGTGATTATTGCTTTTAATAATTGATCCTTTTTATTAATAAAAATAACTTGTTTTTAGAATTGTGAAAATACCACCGAAGCTGTGAATGATGCAGTTGATGAGAAGGATAATAATGGGACCGTTGATGCAGAACCTGATGTGATTGAGACGAAAAGTAATGATAAAGTTGATAAAGAAATGAAGGATGAAATTGAGGAAAAAATTGATGATGCAATTAATACAAAAGTTGATGATATAATTGATGTAAAAATTGATGATACAATTGAGACAAAAGTGGATGATGCAATTGAGATAAAAACAAAAGACGCTGAAGGAAAAATTGATGATCAAGTCAAAGGAAAAGTGGACGATACAGAAAAAATATGTCTCAAGATTTAACTCACTAACTCGTCTCTCACAAGATTTAACTTATCAGTAAAAGTAACACATTAAAAAATTTATTATTACAAAAATTAAACATTTAAATGTTTAAAAAATATGGAAAGAACTTTTGTACGCCACTCTTACTTTCAGCGGTATTTTATTCTCGCTGTAAAAAAAATATTTTTATTTCTTCAAAGGTAAAATGCGTATATTAAATTATTTTCAGAATTTTTTTCTTATGCAAATTATGTTTATCGTAATTTTTTTTTTCAATTTCAACTTTTCAGTTATTAAAGTTATTTGGTTAACTTTTTTCATATTTTGGAAATTTCCCACAACTTTTCATTACAAAATAACGTTTCTTTTTGTTCAATAAATCGTTTATGATTTCTATACTAAGAAAAAAATAATTATTGTTAATAATAATTGTAATAAACTAGATACAATATTAGAAAAAAAATGTTTGAATTACAACAGTTGTAAAACAATTTATACGATTAATGCTGAAAATTGTGTTAATTCATTAAATTTTTTTTCCATTTATTGATGTTTGATATTTGATAAGTTAAGGTTTATAAAATAAACTTTATATTTTTCTACTTTTTGTCTGAATTTATTTAAATATTAATTAATAATTTATTTAAATATTTCTAATATTCGAATATCTGAATTTATTCTAATATTTCCTATCACTTTAGTCTAAAACGATTTTCAAATTAAGTGCCAAAAATACGTTGACTTACGTAGAAGACTGTAAGTCCGTTACGTATATTACTGTGTAATTTTTAAAGAATTTCAATTTCCTTACCCTGTTGAAGTAATTCGTTTGCGGCAGAGGCTATTGATATAATAAACTCGATGGTGATGCTTTATAATCTGGAATAAACGGAATTCCATGAGAAGGTAAATTGATTTATTTTTATCGAAATAGATTTCTTGCTTAAAAGTAAAATCCATAAATTGAAAACTTGAGTATAAGCAAACAAAATCGTGATTAAGTTTTTCAAACATAACCTAAACATCCCTGTGTACGTGTATATTACATTTTGTGCTTTTTGTTTTCGCTCTATACTAAACTTTAATTGATTTTTTCTGTTTATTTCAGAAGAATTAACAAAAAATAAATTGTTCCACTCGATAATATTGGATTTTTTAACTACAAAGTAAACAAAATGTTCAATACTTTTTGGTCCTTCCTTCACTTGTATGCAGTTTGTTTCTCTTGTTTAATCTTGTACTTATCCTTATTTTTACTATTTTAAGAATTTATTTACTGTTTTCAATGTTTGTGTGAACGAATGACTGTATTTGTGATTTTATCTTGAGTAAATGTTTCTTTGTTTAAAGTATAATGAATTAGAAAGTTGACAAAATGGAACCATTCGAGAATTTTGTTTGAGATTGATAGAGAAGTTAAAATACTAGAGAATGTATTTATGATAAATTTACATAAAAATTGTTGCATATATTCTAATTGTATGATTTTTATTCGTTATTATGGAATTATTTGGTAATTGTAGACAATTCAGATTTAAAATTTAATTTACAGGTGCTATATAAATGATGGCCAATAGACTTCTAAAGGATCCAGCAACAGCAAGCAGTAGAATATTTGTAGGACATTTGCAGACGGAAACTTTAAATAGAGTTGAATTGGAAGAGCATTTTTCAAAGTACGGTTCTGTTGTGGGATCAGTAATAAATCGTGGTTTTGCTTTCGTACAATTTGATGACGAGCCAGCTGCTCGTTCGGCTATACAGGGTGAAAACGGCGCAATGTTTAAAGGAAGACGAATGGGTATGTGATAAACTTAAAAATTATATTTATTAAGTAATATAATTATATTTATTACAGGCCTCGGAAAATGTGACTTTTTCGAATTATTTTCAAGAAATGTGACTTTCTCGAATTTTCTTCTAAATATTGAAATAAAATATCACTTTTTAGGTTTAAAATGCAACTTATTTTGATTTTTTATAGTGTGAAAAAGTCAGTATTTTAGAAAACTACTTTTGAATAATTTTTTTAGATCATTACATTTTCGAAATATATAAATAACAAATTTTTAAATAAAGAAAGGAATAAATTTTTAAATAATTCTAATTCTGTTACAATTATTTTGTTAATAATTATTCTGTTACAATTATTTTGTTAATTATTCTGAAAATAACTGTGTTTTTAAGTACTTTATTAAAATTCTTAAAAAGAAAAATTTGAGAAATTTTTGAAAATAATTGTTGAAATCTCAAAAAACTCTCATGAAAATTAATGAAAATTTACTTCAAACAAAATAAAAAAATCGGGCAAGTGCGAGTTGCACTCGCATTAAGATCGAGGGTTCCGTACACCAAAATAAAACTCATTTTTTATAAAAAAAATATATATAAGAAATATAATTGATTAATATTAACATATATAAACCTATTGAGCTGAAATTCGGTACACATATGTATTTTTATTACATATAGATTAAGATTCCTAAAAGTTCAAAAGGGGGAGAGAAAAGTGTCATTTTTTGCAATTTTTTCGTAAAAATTAAATTTCTTTCCCTCCTAGTTCGCAAATATGTCCGTCAATCGAGTTCGCTATATTTTTCCTGTAATCTGCATTTGAAACTGAAGATCTCTACCGAATTTTAGCTCATAAGGTTGAGATTTGTAAAAGTTAAGGGGGGGGGACAGGGTCATTTTTTGCAATTTTTTCAAAAAAATTCAATTTCTTTCCCTTCTAGTTCCCAAATATCTCCACCAATCAGGTTCGCTATATTTTTCCTGTAATCTACACTTAAAACTGAAGATCCCTACCGAATTTTAGCTCATAAGGTTGAGATTTGTAAAAGTTAAGGGGGGGGGGACAGGGTCATTTTTTGCAATTTTTTCAAAAAAATTCAATTTCTTTCCCTTCTAGTTCCCAAATATCTCCACCAATCAGGTTCGCTATATTTTTCCTGTAATCTACACTTAAAACTGAAGATCCCTACCGAATTTCAGCTCACTAGGTTGAGATTTCTAAAAGTTAAGGGGGGGGGACAGGGTCATTTCTTGTAATTTTTTCTGAAAAATTCAATTTCTTTCCCTCCTATTTTGCAAATATGTTTGTCAATCGGGTTCGCTATATTTTTCCTGTAATCTGCACTTAAAACTGAAGATCCCTACCGAATTTTAGCTCATAAGGTTGAGATTTCTAAAAGTTAAGGGGGGGGGACAGGGTCATTTTTTGCAATTTTTTCGAAAAAATTGAATTTCTTTCCCTCCTATTTTGCAAATATGTTTGTCAATCGGGTTCGCTATATTTTTCCTGTAATCTACACTTAAAACTGAAGATCCCTACCGAATTTCAACTCACCAGGTTGAGATTTGTAGAAGTTAAGGGGGGGGACAGGGTCATTTTTTGCAATTTTTTCAAAAAAATTCAATTTCTTTCCCTTCTAGTTCCCAAATATCTCCACCAATCAGGTTCGCTATATTTTTCCTGTAATCTGCACTTAAAACTGATGATCCCTACCGAATTTTAGCTCATAAGGTTGAGATTTCTAAAAGTTAAGGGGGGGGGGGACAGGGTCATTTTTTGCAATTTTTTCGAAAAAATTGAATTTCTTTCCCTCCTAGTTCGCAAATATGTCCGCCAATTGGGTTCGCTATATTTTTCCTGTAATCTGCACTTAAAACTGAAGATCCCTACCGAATTTCAGCTCACTAGGTTGAGATTTGTAAAAGTTAAGGGGGGGGGGACAGCCCATTTTGCGTAGCTGGGACGGACACACGAGTGATTTCATAAGGGTTCCGTCAGTACACCTATGGTGTACGGAACCCTAAAAATTATATTGAAATATTTACGTATCAAAATTTTTTCAAAAATATAAATTTTTTTAAAGTTATTTAAAGTTTTTAAAAATTATTTTAATTTTTCAAGAAAACTCATTTTTAAAATTTTTAATATATTCAATTTCTTCGAAAAATTCAAAAATTTTTTAATTGCCCAAAAATTCTTTTAAAAAATACAATTATTTTCTAAGGTTACATTTGCAAGTTTTTTTAAAATACTGATTCTTAGATTTTTTTATTAATAGGTATTATTTTTCAAAGTTCAATTATCTTCGATAAAAGTTAATTAAAATTTTTTAAAAATTCTTCTTTTTGACTTAACTTAATTTTGTAGAAATCATGTACTTATTTTCATAATTGTAATTAAATTCTTCAAAAAACTTACAATTTTTTATCAGAATTTTTAAAAATTCAATTGTCTTTAAAAAATGTAGGTAAATTAAAATTTTTTAAAAATCCTTATCTTTAAAATTTTGAAGAAATGTTTTCATGTTTTTCATCGTGTTTTTTTTATAATAGTTATTAAATTCTTTAAAAATTTGATTATTTTGTAATATTTTCTGAAAATTCTATTAAAAAATTCAATTATTTTTCATTCTAAATTTCAATTATTTAAAAATTTTTAAATTTTACAAAATTAAGAAATCTATTATATTTCAAAAATTATTTCAAATTATTTTTAAAAAATGAAGTATCACAGATTTTCTATCCTAATTTTTCAAAATTCAATTATGTATTAAAAAGTAAATTAAAATTTCCAAAAAATCGTAATCTTTAAAATCTTGAAAAAAAATATTTTTTTATATAATTGTAATTAAATTCCTCAAAAACTTGACTATTTTTAACCTTTTTTAAAAAAATTCTTCGAAAAAATGTAATTATTTTAAAAAAATTTTACTCAACTGCAATTATTTTAAAATTTTTCTCTTATAGAATATTAAAAAATTAATTATCTTTGAAAAATTATTTTAAAATATATCGAAAAGAGTAATTTAAGAAATATTCTACCATAATTTTTTAAAAATCAATTATATTTTCTACTTTTTCTTTCTAAATTTGAATTAGCGAAATTTCACTGATTCCCAGCGATAACAACTTTTCGAAAAGAAGAATAAAGAGTTAAAGTTGCAATTATTATTAATAAAACAATGGAATTTTTGTATTTTAATAATTAAAATTCTCGAAGAATTTTCGGAAACTAACGAAAAATAATTTATTTAGAGAAGAAATTATTCTTCTTTTTTTTAAATTAAAAGTTGTAGAAAATAATTGAATTTTGAAAGGGTTACAATTGTAATTTTTGGAAATAATAATTGAATTTCCATAAGAATTGAAATTGAAATTCGAAAAATTTTATTTCTTGCGAAAAATTAAATGAGAACCTATATTTAAATATTTATTTAACAAAATTATTCAAGTTTTCTATTGAATTATTGAATTTAGAAACGAATTGAATTTAGCACGAATTTTTTCGTGCTTCAATATTTTTAAAAATTAATTAAACAGAAATGAAAAGTATCATAAATGAACATATTTTTTTAAATATTATGAAATACAATATTTTGTAGACAAAATTAAAATTAAAAGAAGTAATAAAATTATCGTCGTTAATATGAAAGTTCCAAAATTTAGGGACATAAATCATTGAAAGTTCAGAAAAAATAAACGATTTTTTTTATCTTTAATCGACAAAAGGGACATTTTTTGCACCTTAAATTTGATCCGAGGCTTGTGATTATTATTATTTTTATTATTATGAGGTGAATTGATAGTAAAAATTGTTTACGATTTTTTATTTTCAGATGTAAGACCGGCGAAGCAGGACGGTCCAGGAGGTGGTATGGGTGGAGGAATGGGAGGCGGGGGCGGTATGGGAGGAGGAATGGGAGGTGGTGGTGGCATGGGAGGAGGAATGGGTGGCGGAGGTGGTATGGGAGGCGGGGGTAATATGGGTGGCGGAATGGGAGGAAATTCTGGCGGAGGTATGGGCGACGGTATGAACAGACAAGGTGGACCAAAACCCTTTGGTTTTGGAAACGATTCCTTTAAAGGTGGAAATCCAAATTTCAGAGGAAACAATCAAAATTTTGGCGGTGGAAATTCAAATATGGGAAATGATAATTCTTTTCAAAATACTTCAATGCGCGGTAGTGACGAATCATTGAATCGAGGGGATCAGTTTAATGACAGTAATATGGGTCGGGATAATAATGATCAGTTTGATCAATTTAATAATGACAGACCGGGTAATCAAAACAGGGGTGGTAATGATTCATTTGGAGGTGGTAATCAAAATAGAGGTGGCAATCAGTTTGGTGGAGGTGGTGGACCTAATCGACCCGGTGGAATGTTAAATCAAGGTATGGGCGGTGGAGGTGGTGGTGGAGGAGGAGGAGGCGGTAGAAAACGAGGTTCAAGGGGTGGTAAGAACAGAAAAAATATGGATAACTCTGGAGGTCCTGGTGGTCCCGGTGGATCTGGTGGTCCTGGGGGTGGTCCAGGATTTAGAGATCGCAGTCCGATTAATAGAAACAATCGTATGGACGATATGGGTGGTCGGGATTGGGATATGGGTAAACAAAATATGGGCGGAAGAGGAGGTCCTGGCTTTGGTCGAGATAATTTCAATGATGGAAATCGTTTTGATGATTACAACAAACCTCAATTTGGGTAAGATTGATGAAAACTTTTTTTTTAATACCTTTCGCACTCCTCTACTAAAACCTACTATTTACTGCTTTTTTTACGTTATACTACTATTTGGGTACTTTTTTTAAAATTTCAGCCACTAAAAGCAACCATTTCTTTTTTTTACATTTTACACTACTTTAAATTCGCTAATACTAGAAGTAAAAAAACTATTCTCAAAGATCATAATCAAATTCTTTAAAACGATTCAATTATTTTCAAAAAGTATTTGAAATTCAATTATTTCCAATAAATAGTATTTTCATAAAATTTCGCTAATTAATTCAATTATTAAAAAAAAATTTATAAAATTCATCCAAAATTCAATTAATTTCATAAATAATAAAATTCTTCTTAGGAATTCAATTATTTTTGAAAATTTTAATAAAATTCTTTGCAACTATTAAATTATTTTCATAAATACAAAAAATTCATCGCAGGATTTCAATTATTTTTAATACAATTTTACAGGAATGCTCGAAAAATGTAATTATTCTTAAAAATTTAATTTCAATTCCTCGAAAAAAATTAATTATTTAAAAAATGTTTTTTTTAAATTCTTTGCAAAAATTATTTAAATGTTTATAAAAATGCTTATGAAGAATTCAATTAATTTAAACAATAGAAAAAATTTTTTACAGTAATTCAATTCTATTTAAACATTATTTTTAATAAAATTTTTCGCTATAATTCAATTATTTTCATAAATAATAAAATTCATCGCAGGATTTCAATTATTTTGATTAAAATTTTACAGGAATTGATCAAAAAATGTAATTATTCTTAAAAATTAAATTTTAATTCCTCGAAAAAATCAATTATTTAAAAAATTGTTTTTTTTAAATTCTTTGGAAAAATTCAATTATTTACAAAAATATTAGAATTTTTCACAGGAATTCAATTATTTTCAAATATTTTAATAAAATTGTTCGAAAGAAATCAATTATTTTAAATACAATTTTAATTAAATGTTTTTGAAATAATTCAATTATTCTTTTAAATTTTAATAAAATTCTTCCCAAGTATTTATGTAAATAACTTCAAAAAAATTCAATTATGTCGATAAATAACAAAATTATTTCCAAAAATTCAATTATTTTGAGGCATTTTAATAAAATTCTTCGCAAAATTTAATTATTTTCATAAATAACAATATTCATCACAAGAATCCAATTATTTTTAAAAGTAATACATTTTTTCTTGGAAATTCAATTATTTAAAAAAATTTTAATAAAATCGTTCGCAAGAATTCAATTATTTCCATAAATAATAAAATGCTTTTTAGAAATTTAATTATTTTCAAAAAGATTTAATAAAATGCCACACACATTTAATTCTTCTCAAAAATTTTAATAAAATTCTTTGTAAAATTTAATTATTTTAAAAAACTTTTCATAATTCGTAAGAATTCAATTCTTTTTATGAACAATAAAAATTTCTCTTGAAATTCAAGTATTTAAATTAGAATTTGCATAAAATTAGTCGAGAAAAATGAATTATTTGAAAATTTTTATATACTTCTTCACAAGAATTAAATTATTTTTATAAATATTTAAATTCTTTGATGAATAATATGAAATTCGTTGCAGGAATTCAATTTACTAGCAGGATAAGAAAGAAGTAAATGTTTTTGATGTAAATTAGAAAAAAGTCAGGAAAATAAAATATAGAATGAAATTTTTGTCAGTTTTGTGAAGTGTCTAAAACGAGTTTTTTTTGTCTTCAATTTTAGTTTTTCGATAGATACTTTTTGCTACTTTTTTAAAATTAATTATCGAGTGCGAAGTCTGTTAATATCAAGGAATAAAATTTTTATATTATTAATTTTTACTGTTATTTTTCAGGCCATCTATACCGCCTGCAGATTATCCGCCTTCACAAATGGAAAAGAATGATTGTGAGATTATTGTTGTTAACAAGACCCTAACGTTAGTATAACAGAATTTTATATCAAAGTTTGTGTAATGATACTTCTGATTAAATATTTAATTCTTTCATAATTCTTTTAGGGAATACGCCGAAATTATCGAATCACGACTTAAAAAAATAGGATTGACTGTCGATTTACTATTTCCAAACGAAGAGGTTCCTCTGAGTCGGGTACTTGGAAATATTGCAAGTAGAGGTTGCTTATACGCAGTGGTCATTATGCCCGTTAATCAAGAGCATCGTTCTCTAACTCTAAACATCTTACACGGCTTACCACAAGGTTCGTACACATCTCTTTAAAAATATATTTACTTTCCAAACCAGGTGATTAAAAAATACTACTAACAATATTTTAATAATTTTCAGAACACAGAAATATGCCAGTTGAAGATGCCATAAATCTGATTGCACGTGACTTTGCAAATTGTAAAAGTGGAGGTCGATCTGTTCCTTTAAATATTCCTGTCAATAATGATCGTCATCCGGACGCTGTTCAGGTCCTGTTGAATATGTTAGCGGACAATTTACAATTAACCGTTCTTCAATACGATAGGATAATAAAATACTTGGAAATGAAAAGAGAAGAGCAAGTGCAAATTGAAATAGGAGATTCAAAAGATTTACATAATACAAGCACACTTTCTGTGAGTGATCCCAAGCAAGCTGAACTACAGTCAAGAATTCTTAACATTCTCAATAGTAATAAGAATAATACAACTGGACCAGCACCGAGTCCAGTTCCAGCGCCAACACCAGCTCCAGTACCATCAACCACTTGGGGATCGGGTAACAAATTCATTTAAAATACTTTTTATATATTATACTTTTAGTTGTGAACAGTATATGACGCCAAATTAATGACGTAAATAATTTTTAATACCATAAAGTATATATTTTCACATGACCGCGATTTTTAGCTTTTTTTAAAAAATTTAACACAAAAATTTACAGTTGATTTTTTCAACGAATGACAAGTGTCTCAATTCGTTATTATCCGACAATTTTCGTACATTATTTAATGTACATACGTATTTTTTCTTCAGTCGCGTTTTTACTGCTTCACATGTCTGCATATTTACAATATTGCGGGATGAAGCAAAATCGGTTTTAGTCGCGAAATGCTCTTTAATATCGCGTTTATTTTTTAGTAAGAACTTACAAAAATTCACCGCAATTTACACGTAAATATAAATCTGCTGGGTAGAAACACGCTAATTTATTCTTTCAAGAGTGTGTTTTAACACAACATTTAAAATATTATCGGAATTTATACAGTGCAAAGGGTTTATTTTCGACTATTTTGTAAATCCCAAGCAGATTTCGTGCGCGATCTTAAGAATTCTCGTGTTTTTATTTGATACTTTAAAAGAGTATCAGTACACGTGTTGTGCAGACAGGGACGAATATCTAGGAAAACTTAGCAAGTTGTCAAGGTAATGAAAACTTTTATTGATTTATAAAATCACTTTATAAAATCTTAATTTAATATTACTTTGGATTAAAAACTTTACTAATTTTGCAATCGTATTTCTTTTTAGTAAGCAAGTTACGAAATAGATAAAAATTTCTTGCAGGCTTCGCACTCATCTACTAAAACCTAGTATTTAGTACTTTTTTTACAATCTGCTACTTATTGAATAATTTTTTTAGATTTGTCCCAATAAAAGTTATTTTTTTCGAGAATTTACACTACTTCAAACAATAGTTTACAATTTTTATAAATAACTAGCAAATTTTAGTGAATCAGCGCGCGAAACGCAGTTTTTAACTTTGATTATAATTATGTTTACAGAATTTTTTATTTTCAAATATCAACTTTAATTTTTAAATAATTTCAGATTCAAAATGCAAAAAATTAATTTATTAACTATAAATTAATTATTATAATATTATTTTCAAAAACTTTAATAAAATTCTTCTCAATAATTTTCAATACAATTTTAATTAAATTTGTCAAAAAAATTTGCAAGAATTTAATTATTTTCATAAATAATAAAATTATTCGAAGGAATTTAATTATTTTTTTTAAATATTAATAAAATTGTTTGCAGGAATTATATTATTTTCGTAAATAATAAAATTCTTCTCTGGATATTAATTATTTTTAAAAATTGTAATACAATTCTTTGCAAAAATTCAATTATTTTCATAAATAATAAAAGTCATCAAAGAAATTCAATTATTTTCGTAAATAATAAATTTCTTCTCAGAATTTCAATTATTATTTAAAAATTTAATTAAATTTTTCACAAAAATTCAATTATTTTCATAAGAAATAAATATATTCGCAGGAATTCAATTATTATTAATAAAATTTTAATAAAATTTCTACAGCAAATTAAATTATTTTTTAAAGGTTTTAATAAAATTCATTGCAAGAATTCAATTATTTAAAAATATTTTCAATAAAATTCTTTATAAGAATTCAATTATTTTTAATAGAATTTTTATAAAATTTCTCCAACTCGTCGAAAGAATTGAATTATTTTCAAAAATGTACATAAAATTCTTCAAAACAATTCAATTATTTTTTAATATTTTAATTAAATTCTATACAAGAACAAAATCGTTTTATATTGAAAATTATAAAATATTATAAGAAATTTCACCTGTCTTTTAAAATAGAAATAAAATTACACATTAACACAAAATTATGTAAAATAAATTTTTTCTAATTTTTTTTTTTATCATAATAATTTATATTAATTAGTTAATCAATAATTAAATTAATTATAATTATCGAATAATTGAAATTTCAGAAAATTCAATTGTAACCAAGTGTTTATGATAATAAAAATTGGGTGAATTTTTTTTTCTCTTTAAATAATTGAATTCTTGAGGAATTTTCTCAAAAATTATTAAAAAATTATTTATTTCAAGAAGAATTTTAATGAATGAAATTCTAAAAAATAATTGGATTGAAATTAAAATTTTTAAATTGATATCTTTGAAAATTTTCATTCCTGTAAAAGTAAAATAATATTGTTTTAAATATTTATTTTTAAAAATTATCAACTTAGGTATTAATTTTTTAAAAAATTATTAATTTATAATTTTTCTAAATAATTATTGAAGTTTTGAATTTTTCTTTAAATTCTAAAAAATATTTGAATTTTGGAAGAATTGCAGTTGTAATTTTTAAAAATAATTAAATTTCAAATGGTTTTACATTGAATTTGTTAGAAATTTTAATTGCTGTTGAAAAATAAATAACAATAAGTTTTTCAATATTTGTTTAACAAAAATTATTTAGTTTTGAATAAAATTTGACAATTCCAGGAAATAATTTTGAAAAAATTGAAACATTTGAAAATTTGTCAAATTTTATTTTTTTACTTTTAGAAATTATTGTTAAATATTCAATTTCTGAAGAATTTTAACCAAAAATTTGGAAAATAATTGAATTTTACAAAAATTTAGAATTGAAAGGTAATAAGGATAAGAAAAGAAAATATTTTTTCTTGAAATCAGGAAAATTAGTTTAATTCTTTATGATAAACCGGAATAAAGTGAATTATTTTCTTATACATTGAATCGACTAAAATGAGTTATTTTTTGTCGTTAAATTAATTTTTCAAAAGCTACTTTTAAAAGAGTAAAATTAAATTAAATTCACTAACGAGTGTGAAGTCTGTATTGAGAAAATTATTAAGTAGATAAATTTTTCTACTACTAATTGAAATAACTTGCTTACTTATTGCAAAACATTTTTTTCCTAGTCAACTTAATTTGAATGATACAACAATATTGAATATTTCTAAATAAACACGTGTCGAAAAAGTGATTGAAGTGTGATAATTGCTGTGTTTTTGTGCTCACAACACTGAAAACTTGATGAAAGCAATATTATTTCGGCAGCTTCAACAACAGCCGCTTCATCGACGACAACAACATCAACAACATCAGGGGTCACTCCATCGCCACTTCTTAACGATCCAACTGTACAAAAGGCTCTAGACAGTCTTTTACAAGGAAATCTTTTAAAAAGTATTGGAGAGCCACAAACACCAGCAACAACATCGGCACCACTGTTTGCTGCGTTTCCCAACATTAGTCGTTTTTAACCACTTTATACTTTAAATACCGATGAGTTTCTTGGAATTTCCTAATTAGCATATATGCTTTTATTTTTAAAGTGTAGACAAAAAAATTGATGCAATCTGAGAAAAACTTTGATAGAATTTAGATCTTTATAAAACTACAATGCAATTACCGCATATTTGCTGTAAAAAATAAAAATCGCAGTAATTTGTAGAACACGTTTTTATAAACGAGAAAATGAATAGGAATAATTTTTACATATATGCATAATTTCATATACAAAAAGGAAAGAAAAAAAATCAGTCTTTATAAGTGAATTATTATTTATCTTGCGTAAAAATATTATCTTTATAATATTTAATTAGAATGCTTTTGAAATAACATAAATTTATTATCGTCAAGTTCTGAATGTTCAAATGAACGATTTTTATTTATTGAATTTTTATTCCAAAAATATTGAGACACTATCAAGGGAAAATTTTTCAACTTTTTAAATATTAAATTTTTATTTAAAATTTAAGGTTTTTATTTCTTTTTGCAAATTGGTAATTTTTGAAAATATTTTTAAAATATTTCGTTCATTTGAGCGTTGAAAACTTTTGGATTATTTAAATTTGAAGTAATTTGGTGTGTATAGTTTACACTTTAAAGACAAATGCATTGTCTGTCATACTATACCATCTTTATTATTCAATTAAGTATTTGGGAATATTACACTAAGTATTTGTATATTCAACGTAATCTATAAACTTATTGAAAATTTTTTCAACTTTCTATTTTTCAATTTTTCATATGGAAAAATAATTTAAATTTTTAAATAAATTCGAAAAGAAAATTTCAAAAGAAAATTTAAGAATAAAATTTCTCTCATATGATTGAAATATTTTTCAATAAGCAATTAATAGATTACTATATTTTGTATGAAAAAAAAACACAATTTCGAATAATTGTTTTATTTACACTATTAATAATTGTCTATTTAGTTGTAATGCACGTTCGCTTATAATAATTCGACTATTCTAAAAAGTGAGTACTTTTTTTCAAAAGTTTTAGAAAACTGACAATTGTTTGCTTTTGAAATCAGGAAATTTCTTTCGATTAATCGCGAATGGACTATTTTTTACTAAAAATGAATTATTTTTAGATTGTTTTGAGAATGATTTTGAGAACAAAACTTGTACAAAAATTAATTTTTTTTGTATCTATTATAATTGAGGGGAAAAAAAGTAGGTGTAGAACTAATAAGAATTTTTTCATTCGAGTTGAAAATTTATTTTCAGTTTTTTTTAAGGCAACTATTGTAATGATGCGTGTTACGCATGTGAAAACAATATTGTATGTCTTTAAAAATAAATGTCGTACTCATAAATTAGTTATTATATACTTACTGTTCGTTACGATTAAAATGGTGTTTCGCATTCATCAGGATCTAGAAAAATAAAATAAAATTCTTTAATTTAAGGGAAAATTCTGAAATTAACCATTTTGTTGTTAATAATTCTTGGCGTTTTTTTTTAATCACAGTAGAGAATATTAATCACTTACTAAAACTTGCATATAGATAGAATAATATAGCTCTTGGACATTAAAGAAACAAAATAGAAGTGCAAGCTAAAATTTGAAAGAGGTTAAAAAACCGCATTTGTCGACGTCAAAATAAATTTTTTTTTCATGTTGTGCATTTCACTCAATTTAGCGAGTTTTGTAATAAGACCAGCAGCTGTATTTATTGAGATAACCTGATAGGATTTACAAACAATTTATGGTAATTGTACATTAATTGAAAAATAATTGACATTTTTGAAGCGTAGCGATTTTGATGAACTAAGCTAGAGTATAAGAATGAAAAAAAATCTTCAGTTAGTAAATATTTTTTGTGCGAACAATGAGCAAGCAGCGTTTTTTTTTTTTTTTTTTTGAGTTCAAAGATTATAAAATTTACCTAAATAATAGCTTTTTAAATATTGCATTCCATGAACGATTTCTTCACATGGCATTGTTGCTTCTTTGTATAATATTTTAAGAATATTTTTAGCTGCGTCGATGTCGTATTTATTTTTTATTAATCTCTTTTTAAAGGGCAATAATTTTTCCACGAGTTGTTTATTCTTTGATATTGAGCCCACATGATTTTGAAGTATTTCACGATAAGTTGGCCAATCTGAAATACAAGCTGGACAATCACAATTGAAAAAATAATCTTCCATCATTTTCTTTCGTCTTTCAATTAAAGCTATATGCTGATGTCCTCCACCGTAGCTTGTGAAAATTTGATCACCCGGAGATATTGTCTCTAGTGCTCGTGTTATCATTGTTAATCCCTCAAAGTGTCTCAAAGTATTTGGAGCACAGGAATGATTGTATAAACTGTGCACAACATAAAGACCTGATCCGACCTTGACACCTGGCGTTTGTTGTATCTGAATTGAGAAAAGGGAAAATTATTTTAAATAATAATTGTAAATATCGAGCAAATTTTAAGCGCGCAAAACGAGAGTTTTACAATTTATTCGTATTGTGCAAATAACAAAAATTATTTTCAATTTCAACTTCAATTTTTGAATAATTTCAGATTCAAATGTTTAAAAAATTCATTTCTTAACTATTTTTATTTATATTCATTTCTGAAATTTGAATACAGTTCTTGAAAACAATTCAATTTTGAGAAGAAATCAATTATTTCCTAAAATTTTAACTAAAATTCAATTATAAAATTTTCAATTACAATTATTAATAAACGAGATTATTTGAAAGTCTTGAATGTAATTGTTCGTGAATTTCAAATAAAATTATTTTTTAAAAAAACTAGGTACTTTATTTTAAAAAATTTTAAAGAAATTCTTCTAAAGAATTTAATATCTTATCAAAAATAATTTTAATACATTGTATTAATAAAATTGTTAATTACAATTATTAAGGAAAATATTTTAAAATTATTACAATTATTAATAAATTATTATTAAAATTATTTCAAACATTAAAGAATAAACACCATTATTTTAAAAACTTGAAAGAAATTTTTCGTAAAATTCAATTACTTTCAAAATTTTCCGTTAATAATATTAAAACTTCATTATTTTCAAAAAATCCAAAGAAATTCTTGCGAACAATTTAATTATTTACGTAAATAATAAATTTCTTCTCAGGATTTCAATTATTTCCTAAAAATTTTAATAAAATTCAATTATTTTCATAAATAATAAAATTATTCGCAGGAATTCAATTATTTTCAAAGAAATTTTAATAAAATTTCTACAACAAATTCAATTATTTTTTTATTCGTCTTGCGACGAATCAAATTCGTCGCAAGAATGCAATTATTTTCGTAATTAATAAAATTCTTCGCAAAAATTCAATTATTTTTAGAATGTTAAATAAATTTCCAAATTAAATCCGGATTACAGCAATTATTAATATAGATTAATTAATATATAATTAATTAGTATAAATATAATTATAAATAGTAGAATAAAAATGCGATTTTTACCGAGAAGCTATTAGAAGACATAATAACACTGGCTCTGAACATAATACTTCCACAAAATGTAATATCTGGTAATTCATTGATTTTTTTTAATTCATCGATTTGATATTTATTGCCAAAGAATTTGGTTTGCGTTGCTAAAAGCATTGTTGTTAATGCCGAGAGACAAGCGAACGCACTAATTCCAATTGGCGGCCTTGCAGACATATTTGTTATAAGACTTAAAGCCGATTTGGCACTCGTTTGATCGAAAATACCATTTTCTGAAAATCCCGATGTCCTCCTATCTAGAAAGTATTTTTTTTTAATTTTTTATCAATCGCATTATTATGAACTCAACAGCGAAGTGTGAATTTAAACATCAAACTTGAATTTTTACCAAAAGGATTTTATTTTGAAAATATATTTGAAAAAATATTTTCAAAATTATTAATTGAAAAAATAAATTATTTAAATATTTAAAAAATGGAAATTTTCATAATTATTTAAAATTCGATTTCGTTATTTAAATCGCACTTCTCTTTTGTGAATGTAATCTATAAGTTATAGAAAATGAAACCTTTGTTTGATTCTGCAATTTTTAGATCCTCACGTAATTTATCGATAGCCGTGCCATTTGCAGTTGCAATAATAAGAAATCTCACAATTTTCGAGAGCATACGAATTTTATCTCTATCGATATTAAGCAGATTTGACAATAATGGCAAAATATCACACTCGGTGCAATGTGCAAGTTTCCAATCTAATTCTTTACATTTTTCTGAACAGTACTGAGCAATTGGACATTTTGAGCATGGAATTAAATTATAACTTCTTGCTAAACAGTGAAAACAGTGTGTATAATATCTGTAAAAAGAACATTTTTTTTTCTTTATAAAAATCAAACGAAAACTGCAGGGTTGCCATAGGTCAGGAAAATCAGGGAATTCAATTATTTTCAGGAATTTTAATAAAATTCATTGCAAAACTAATTGATTTTCGTAAATAACAATATTCATCACAAGAATTCAATTATTTTCAAAAATATTTAAAAAAATTCTTGTCAACGTTTTAATTATCTTTATAAATAGCAAAATTCTTCGCCGAAATTCAATTATTTTCAGGAATTTTAATAAAATTTATTGCAAAACTAATTGATTTTCGTAAATAACAATATTCATCACAAGAATTCAATTCTTTCCAAAAATTAGAAAAAAATCCTGTCAACATTTTAATTATCTTTATAAATAGCAAAATTATTCATCGAAATTCAATTATTTTTAGAAATTTTAATAAAATTTATTGCAAAATTCAATTATTTTTATAAATAACAATATTCATCACAAGAATTCAATTATTTTCAAAAATTTTAATAAATATTAAATAATAAAAATTTCACCGGAATTCAATAATTAAAAATAGAATTTGCATAAATTTTTCAAAAAAAAAAAAATCAATTGTTTGAAACTTTTTTTATATTCTTCGCAATAATTCAATTACGTTTATAAATAATAAAACTAATTGCAGAATTTCAATTATTTTTAATACAATTTTAATCGAATTCCTCGAAAAATGTAATTATTTCTAAAAATTTTATTAAAATTTGTCGAAAGATATCAATTATTTAGAAATTTGTTGATAAAATGCTTTATGAGAATTCAATTTTTAAGAAACATTCAATTATTCAATAAATTATCTATGTTTGTATTTAAATGATTGAATTCTCGTAGAATTTTCTAATAAAAATTGATTTAAAAATTAAGTTCAGTTAAAGTTTTTGATAATAAAATTGAATTTTGCAAAAGTTACTAATAATTGCAATTTTTGGAAATAATAATTGAATTTTGTAAAGGTTTCAAATTAAAATCTTTGAAAATTTGAATTTTTCATACCTTTTATAAAAAAATCTATGGAACTAATTTTTTTTTAAAAAGCTTAATCGAAATTTTTTAAAATTATTTCAAGTTTTTATTTTTTAATATATTATTGAAGAATTTCCGAATAAAATTAAAATTCCTTAAAACTGAATTATTGTAAACAAATGAACTTGGAAAATTCTCAAAAGAATTTTATCAAAAATTATTAAAAATAATTGATTGAAAGAAGAATTTTATTTAAAAATTCTAGAAAATAGTAATTGAATTGAAATTATGAAAATAATTTTGAATAACTTGAGTGAATCAAGAATATTCTTTACTATCAGGAGAAAAGTCAAAATTTTGTTTGAAAATCAGTGAAAAAGAAAATTAAATATTTGTGGCAACCCTGAACTGAAAATATATTTTTATACAGAAAAATAAAGAATTTACTTGTCTTGATAAATAACATAAGCAAATGGATCTTCTACAGAAATGATGTCGCCGGGTTCAAAGTATTGTGTTGCCACCATATGACGACCGTATTTCTCCGAAAAACGTACATTAACACCATTACTGACAACTGGTGCCTCTTCACTTGGACCATGGGTGAGTATTAGATTTTCTTTTATATCTTTGCATTCTGTTTGTATTTTTGACGTGCCAGGTAATAGAAAATCAGTATCTTTTGGTTCTTCTAAATCCTCTATATTTTGAATTAAGGGGAATTTTTTCTTTATTTTACTATTCGATTCATTTTCAAATGGATCGAACGATTCGGAATTTCCCGATGAATTTATTATATTTCCTAATGCCTTTTGTCCCCGTTCTTTCAATTTTTCCCTTTTTTCTTCTGGATAGCCATGCGATAAGGCGGCTTCTATTTCAATCAGACAATGTTTATAATATTTTTTTCGATACAAAGCTGCCGAACGATTTGCATGTGCATAACCCATTAATTCCTCACTGTCAGCGTAAGCGAGACTTTTAGTAAAACTCTCAATTGCTTCTAAATCATTGCCAGCAATGAAATGTTGATTTCCTGTTTTTTTATTTCAATAAACAATTCTCAATTATTTATAAATTAATAGAAAAAGTTCAACAAAAACACAGTTATTTTGAGAAAACTGTAATAAAATTCTTTAAAATATAAAATTTATTTCAATAAAAAATAAAAAATTGACGAACTTTACAATTGTTTGACAATTTTTCAATTAATTAATAATTACTCCTAAAATTTGATTATTTACAATAATTGCTCCTGCACCTTTTAAAAAATTCAATTTTCTAGAATTTTTAACTAAAAATCCAATTCTTTTCTAAATAAATTATTTTTAATTATTTTTGAGAATTTAATATTATTTAAAAACAAAGCTCACTTAAAACATTTCTAAAATTCAATTTTAAGAAATTCCGCCAATTGAAAAATTTTTTTATTATATTTTCAAAAATTCATCTGAATTCAAAATTTTTCAATTTAATTTTTTTAAATAATGGGCAGAATTTTTAATTAAAATTATTCAAAATTTAAATATTCGAAAATTTCAATTTGAAACAAAATTTAATTTGAAACTAAAAATATTTTAATTTTCATTTCTTAAAAATTTCTTTTATAACTCCTCTAAGTTTTCAATTATTTTCTACAGTTTTGAATGAAAATTCTTCTCTAAATCAATTATTTTTAATAATTTTTGATAAAGTTCTTTTGAGAATTCAATTATTTAAGAAAAAAGAAAGTTTCAATTATTTTTTACTTTTGAATTAAAATTCTCCTCTAAATCAATTATTTTTAATAATTTTATGAATGTTTTTTTGAGAATTCTATTATTCGAGAAAAAATAAAATTGATTTAGAATACAATTTTAAATTAAATTATTTTCAATTCTACTTTATAAAATTTCGATAATTCAAAAATTTTTGCATTTAATTTTAATTTTCAGTTCTAAAAATTTATTCTGTTACTCTTCTAAATTTTCAATTATTTTCTAGTTTTAATAAAAAAAATTCTCTTCTAAATTAATTATTTTTAATAATTTTCTGAATGTTTTTTTGAAAATTTAATAATTTAAGAAAAAATAAAGTTCACTAAGAATAATTTCAATTAAAATTGATTGAATAACTGATTTTTTGAGAATTTTGAAATTTAATTATTTCTAAAAATATCTTCTAATAACAATTCTAAAATTCAGATATTTTCCAGAATTTTTAATTAAAATTTGTTTATAATTCAATTATTTTGAATAATTTTCAGAAAATTCGTCGTAAATTCAATTGTTTTAATAAAAATTAAAATGAAAGGCAAAGAATTGTAAAAGTGGTATTTTGTTGTAAAATGTGAAAGAAAATAGTAAAAGAAAATAGCTTTTTTGAAAAATAGTCGAAAAAATAATATTATCCGAGGCCTGAAAATAATATAAAAAAGTAAAATACGAATTAAATTTAAAAAAAGAAAAAGAAAGAAAAGTAAAATTAAAAGTAATGAAAAAATACAATAAAAGAACAAGAAATAAAAATAATAAACTAAAAAGAAATATAATAAAAAAAAATAAAAAAAGTATATTATAATTGTCTCAAAGTAATAAATACTGAAATTTGGAATTACAATTGTAAAAGAAAACTCAATTTGGAAATCTACCTTCATTTCGGTAATGTAACGAATCCTCCTCGTTTTTCACTTCTGGCTCCACATCAGGCAATGCCGATTTAGACATATTTTGCAAAACATAACTGATTAGTGCCTCACTCTCCTTTTGTAATCCATAACCGGCTTGTGAATTGTTTTGTATTAAATCGAAAATTAACGTTTTCACCAACTCCATCTCGTTCTCATTAAACTTTAATAATAATAATAATCACAGAAATGAGCTGTTTATCTGAAAATTATTCAAGAACATTTCAAACTTATTGAAAATTTAATATTTTATTCATTCCTGTAAAATAAACTCCATCTCGTTCTCATTAAAATTAATAATAATAATAATCACAGAAATAAGCTGTTTATCTGAAAATTATTCAAGAAAATTTCAAATTTATTGAAAATTTAATATTTTATACATTCCTGTAAAATAAACTCCATCTCGTTCTCATTAAAATTAATAATAATAATAATCACAGAAATAAGCTGTTTATCTGAAAATTATTCAAGAACATTTCAAACTTATTGAAAATTAATTATTTTATACATTCCTGTAAAATAAACAAAAACAATATGAACAAAGCAAAATATTTAATAATATTTTATTATTTAATAAAATTTTCGATAGTGTTTAAACTGAAAAAATATTTTTTGTTCACTTACATTTTCTTTAATAATTCGATATGCAAATTTCGCGTTTCACACACAGCTGAAAAGTGTCTAGCTAAAATTGAGCTAAATGGGCAAGAGCGGTCAACGTACTAATTGTAAAATGCTACGAGGTGAAACTAAAATTATCCTCAGGAGAAAGGTAGAGTGGGAAATCTTATTTTACATCAATAAATAGAATTGGCAAAATTTAAATTACTTTCGTAGATAAATATGGCAAATGGCATAGATAAAAATGAAAAAATTGTTTTATCACATTTAGAATATTCTTTTTTTTTATTTTTAATTTTTGAATTTTATCCAAATTTTTTTTTAGTGAATATTTTTAATTAGGAAAAATTTTAAAAATATCTTTTCATTAATTCATTAATTAATTCAATTCAATTTAAGAAAATTGAACTTCCACTGATGTTTGAATTTCAATGGGTGAGTATTACAAGAGTGAAAAAGAATAATCTAAGTTTTAAATTGTTGTAAATAGTCGTTTTTAATTCTAATTGTAAAATAATGAAAATTTCCAATTAAATATACTGTATAAAATGTAATCTGTGCATTGTTTTTTTAATTACTGTAGAAAATGACATAATCCTTAGTCTTCCTCTGCCTCTAAATTTATGTGACTTCCAAATTTTGCATATAACTGTGCTTTCAATTCGGTCATTTCTTCCTTTAGACTAGCACATTTGGTTTCCAATGTGGATATTTCGGCTTGTTTCTTCTTTTTAGCTTGTTCTAGGGAGCTCTAAAAATAAAATTTAATTAAATTAGAAATAATATTCTAAAAATTCTGAAAGTACAGACAAACATTTTTTTTTTCTTTAAAATTCCATTGCAATAATTTTGCATCATGTGTAAAAGAAACTTTGGTGAAGTTTACAACGTTTATAATCAACGATTTAGAAGAAAAAGTATTTTTCTATTTATATTTTTATATAAAAAATGATTTCCATACTTTTTTGATTATAAATTTTAAAAAGAAAAATTTGTAAATAAAACATTTTGTTATTTTTGTCAGGAAAAAATATTTCGTTTATTTGAACGATAAAAACTTGTGGATCATAATTTTGATTATTTTTGAAAATATTTTCAATGAAAAATATTTAATTTCTTCGAAAGTTCAAAATTTTTGTTGATCATTAGAAATATCGGAAATATCTAATGGAGATAAAATGTAATATTTTTATTTTATGCTTGTTTTTTTGGGAATTGTAATTATCATTCGATTTAACAAACCTGAGTTTTTTCGAGACCTTGAGCAATGAACACTTCTCCAAATTGAAAAGGAATTTTAACATCATCATCTAGAAGGGCAATTTCGTCACAGGCGTCTTCTAAATTTTGTAGATCGCTCTAATAATGAATAAATAAATAAAGTAAACATAAATGAATAAAGTAAGCGTATATTAGTAATATTTTATATATTATTTTTTTATAAAAATTTCCAGTTATTTTAAACCTAATCCAGTAAATTTACTATAGTGATAGCTAATTTTGAGGTTAAGTTGCATGGTATTGACATAACCATTGAACATACCTGTTTAACTTTCAATTCCTCTTTGAAATCCTCCATTTTTGCATTTTGCTTTGCAAATTTATTAATTTTCTGTTGATCCTCAAAGGTAATGTGTACATCTGAGTCCTTTAATTAAAAATGTTTATTATGTATCATGTTTTTTTTTAAGTATTTGCATTTCTCTAAAAATATAATTAAAATACTATAAACGTACCGGTTGAAATCCACCTTGAGCAGTTTTACCACCAGCCATTGTGCATTTATTTTTTTAAATAAATTTCCTTTTATTATTATTCAAACTAATTTTAGAATCAAGTGTCGTGTTGTTCACCAAAACACTAATTTATTTCCAAATTTGTCACTTTTCAGCTGTCTTCCACGAACACTGACTGCGCATGATTACAATTTCCATGGCGTCAGTGGTACCAATTCTTTCAAATTGAAGAAGATAATTAATAATTACATTATTTTTATTCTCTTCTTGCATTTCTTTATTATTTATAAGAAAAAGTAATGATAAATTGAACTAAAATTCTATGAATAAATAATTTATCATTGTTTCAATATTCTTTCAAATATTAAAAGTATTTAGGTGATTAAATAATGTATAAAGGTTGGTAGTCTGGAAAATTGAATAAAAAGCGCTAAATTCAAAAATAAGTTCAAACAAAATAACGTTTATTATGTCAACATTTATTAATTATACAATTATTAATTTAGTAATTTCATTGTTGATTAAATTGTTAATTTCATTGTTGATTTAATTGTTAATTTAATTGTTGATTCAATTGTTGATTCAATTGTTAATTTAATTGTTGATTCAATTGTTGATTTAATTGTTGATTTAATTGTTAATTTAATTGTTGATTCAATTGTTGATTAAATTGTTAATTTACACGTTTATTATTATTTATAACCCATTTACTAACATTATTTTTTTACTACCTTTTTATTAAGCGTTAAATATAAATTCTTCAAGTTTAGAAGAAATAAAAAAAATTTTTTTAAATTAGAAATAAATATTAAAACACTTCGCCAAGAGGTCTGATTGTTAATTCAGTTATTTGAACGCGGGGATTTGTGCCCAGAATATAAACAATTGAGTCAGCAACATCTTCTGGTAATAAATTTGGTAATTTATCTAAAGCTCCAGATATATTTTTTTCTTCGCTGGAATTGGCTTCAAAAACTTCAGTTTTAACTAAACCTGGACTGACGCTCTGAAAGTGAAACAAATTTTTAATTTTTTCCTTAATTTTTTGTAATAAAATAATTTTATATATTTATATATGAAAAAAAAAATTAAATTAAATATTTGAATAAATGTAAATAAATAAAATATCAATTTATACTCACTGTACATCTTATTTTTGAACCCAATAATTCTACTTCCATTGTTGTTGTTAATGCAGTGACAGCATGTTTTGACGCGGGATAAACATTAAAAGCCAATTCTTTATTCCTCAGAACTCTGTGTCCTACAATGCTGTAATATTTATTTTTATCAATAAATGTTTTTTTTTTATTTTAAATTTAGGATAAATAATGAATAGCAAAATTTCTATAAAATTTTAAAATAATTTTTAAAAAATTGAATAAAATTGTTTTAAAAAATTCAGTTACTTTTCCAAATAGTGAATAAATTTCTTTGCAAAAATTCAATCATTTATCTATATTTATTTATTAAAATATAAACGCAAAAAATCAAATATTTCTAAAATCTTTCATTTTAATAGAATTTTTTGAAAGAATTCAATTATTTTCAAAAATTCCAATCTTTATGAAAATTCAATTATTTTTAACAAGTTTAAGAAAATTCTTCGATATAATTCAATTATCTACTTTCAAAATTTTTACTAAAATTCTATACAAAAATTTAATTATCTTATATTAGAAATGATAAAAATTACAAAAATTAAAACATTTTTTAAACGTCCAACGACGTAATTGCGCAAACGAAGACATTTATAAAGTACCTATGGTAAATAAATTGAAGTGGTTTTCTAAAACACACATATAATACCTGTTTATGTTAATAATGTGACCTTCTGTTCCCAATTCTTTCATTATTTTCACAGCCTCCAACGTGCAGTACAACAATCCCATTATATTGACGTTAACTATTTTACTCATTACTTCTCTTTTCGCTTCTGTTAATTAATAAAATTTGTCAGTTAGAAAAGAAAAATTAATTTAAAATAGTTTAACTAATTGAAATTAACTCAAATTATATAATTAAAAAAAATTTTTTTAAACTAATTTTTAAAGCACATATTTTTCAAATTTAATTTTAAAATCATCAATTTTTTTGTACCAAACATAGTTGATGAAGTCATAAGTCCAGCATTATTTATAAGCACATGAACTCCGCCTAAAGTGCGATGTATCCATTTAAAAGTTTCTGCAATTTGTGTCTCATTTGAAACGTCACATTCTTTGGCTATAAATTTTCCCTTTCCTTTAAATAATTTCATTTCGTCCTGATAGTGAAGAAAAAATATTATTATTATTATCTTTAACAGTTTGTTCGTAATTTTTTAATTTATTAAGAATTATTATTATTATTATTATTATTATTATTATTATTATTATTATTATTATTATTATTATTATTTACTTATTTATTTATTTCTATTTTATTTTTATTTATATATTATTTGTGATTTTTTTTTATATTTTTATTATTACTTTGATTAAAATGATTATATGATCAAACACTGAAAAAAATGTATTTGATTCGATTAAAAAGTGATTAATTTTAATTAATTTAATAATAAAAATAATTTTTTATATAATAATAAATATTACTGAAAAAAAAGTTTATTTGATTTAAATAATTACTTGTCTATTATCAAATAAATATTTACTTGAATCAAATAATTTTTATTTAAATCAATTACCTACATGGTATTTAATTTGATTTAATTATTTATTTTATTTATTAACTGAAAAAAAATATTTATTTGTTTCAAATAATTTTTATTTGAGTCAATTAAATGATATTTGCTTCAAATAATATAAATTTGATTCAAATATAATTTAACATAAATAAAAATTATTTGATTCATGTATAAATATTTATTTGATAAGAGACAATTTATTTGAATCGAATAATTTTTTTTTCTGTGAAAGGAGTTTGATCAAAATTTTTTTGATAAAAAATGACGAAAACAATTAAATAAAAAATGTATTGAATATTAATTAACTTATTTTATTAATGTAACAAGTATTTTTACCTCCATTTTTCCTTTTCTTCTTGCAAGTCCAACGACAATCATTCCTTCTTTCACCAAATATTGCGATGTCGCTAAGCCAATTCCAGACGAAGCTCCCGTCACAACAGCTACTTTTCCAATCCATCGATTCATAATTTATTTTTTTTTATTTTTTTATTTTTAATTCAAGAAATTTCTTTTCCAAAAATTAGCAAACAACTGTATGGAATTTCAATTTAGAAGAAAGAAGAATTTTGTGATCAATTTATTTTTGTCTTAATCTCATAGAGAAAGACTGGACTGAAGAAAATGAATATTGTCGTTGTTCAGATTATTTTTTCTCCAAAGTGCTTATTACTCGTCTATTTTATATAGAGAATATGTTAACAAAAGTGACTTGCAAAAATACTTGACAATGATTATAGAATATATGAAAAAATAATTTTCCTGACAAATTGTTATATATTTGACTAATGAATATTTTTTTTAGATTGTTTTTTTAATGCGCAATTATTTAACGATCATTTCAATTTCCCATTTGTTTCGAAATTCATAATACAGTGCGACAAAATAAAATTAATTTCTTTAATTCAAATAAGCGATTAATCGTTTATTATATAAATATTTACTGGCACCAAATAAATATTTACTTGCAACGAATAAATTTCGCCAAAGGATTCAATTAATTAAAAAAAATTTATAAAATTTATCCAAAATTCAATTATTTTCATAAATAATAAAGTTTTCAGAGGAATTCAATTACTTTCACTAATAATAACATTTTTCATAAAAATTCAATTATTTAAAAAAATTTTTGGATAAAATTATAAGCAGGAATTAAATTATTTTCATAAATAATAAAACTTATCGAAGAATTTTAATTGCTTTTAATGCTATTTTAAATTAATTAATAGAAAAATTCAATTATTTTCACAAATAAAGTTTTCCGCAAAGAATTCAATTATTTAAAATAAAATTTCCATAATATTTAATATATTTCGAAAAAATTAATTACTTAAAACAATGTTTATAAAATTCTTATAAAGAATTCAATTATTTTCAAAGATAAAAAAATTTCTCACAGAAATTCAATTCTTTTTAAACATTTTAATAAAATTTTTCGCAGCAATTCAATTATTTTCATAAACACTAAAATTCTTCGCAAATATTCAATTATTTTCATAAATAATAAAATTCATCGCAGAATTTCAATTATTTTTAATTATTTTTACAGGAATTGCTCGAAAAATGTAATTATTCTTAAAAATTTAATTTCAATTCCTCGAAAAAATCAATTATTAAAAAAAAGGTTTTTTAAAATTCTTTGGAAGAATTGAATTATTTAGAAAATATTAGAATTTTTCACAGAAATTCAATTCTTTTGAAACATTTTAATAGAATTCTTTGCAAAATTCAATTATTTTAAATAACATTTTAATTCAATTTTTTTGAAATAATTCAATTATTCTTTTAGATTTTAATAAAGTTCTTCCTAAGAATTGAATTATTTACATAAATAATTTTTCGAAAGAATTCAATTATGTTGGATAAATAACAAAATTATTCACGAAAATTCAATTATTTTGAGGCATTTTAATAAAACTCTTTGAAAAATTCAATTATTTTCATAAATAACATTTAAAAATTAAAGAATTCTTAAAATTGAATTTTAAGAATTTAATTATTTTTAAATGTAATACATTTTTTCTTGGAAATTCAATTATTTTAAAAAATTCTTACGATTTAAAATACCAAAATCTAATTGTTTAGAAAAAAATGGTCATGTCATTTGAATAATTGCAAAAAAAAAAAATATAATTTTCCAATTGAATTTTTTTCCTCTTTTTCAGAATGAAAGGAATACTCAGGATGAGCTCTTATACAAGGGTTGGGATTTGAAAGATACATTTTGTGTGTATACTCCCGACCAAACAGTGAAAGTGTTTTATGCGAATTTCACGTTCTTCTTCAGCTTCTCTAATCTCATTGCATAGAAGATTCTTGCAGTAAGCGTCAGTATTTATCTTTCTATAAATAAAAACCGAAAACTTGAAGTGATTGAGTGTCTTAAATTCTACTTGAATGTTAATTATATTGTGATGTTAGAACTGAATTTTTTTGCCTTGAGTGTTAATTTTGCGCATTGGAAAAAGCTCAAAGGTAAATTTGTTAAATTATTTTTTATTCGTAGCTATAAATGTTTCTCAAATAAATACTCCTCTATCACTAGAATTTAATTTAAATAATAAAATAAAATTTCTCGAAAAAGAATTTAATTATTTTCAAAAATTTTGATGAAATTCTTCGCAGACATTAAATTATTATTCTCTATATACAATGTTAATAAAAATTTTCTAAAGAATTCAATTATTTTCATAAAAATTTTAATAAAAATTCTTCGTAGGAATTTAATTACTTAGATAATAAATAATTCTTCTCAGAAATTCAATTATTTCCTATACAAAGTTTCTCGAAATAAATAAATTATTTTACAATAATTTTGATAAAAATTCTTTATAAGAATTCAATTATTTTCAACACAAAAATTAAATTTCTGGAAAGAATGTAATTATTTTCAAAAATTTTAATAAAATTCTTCGCAGAAATTCAATTATTTTTAAAAATTTTGATGAAATTCTTAGCAGGAATTAAATTATTATTTTCTGTATAATTTTAATAAAATTTTTCTTAAGATTTTGTTCATTAAAAATTCTTCGTTTTAATTCAATAAAAATGAATAAGTAATGAATTCAATTTATTTAAAAATAAATAAAATTCTTCGCAGAAATTCAATTATTTTAATTCCAATTTGAATTATATTCCTCGAAAGAATTTAATTACCTACTTTCAAAAATTGAAGTAAACTATTTGCTAAAAAATTCAAATATTTTCAATATAATTTGAATTAGATTCTTTAGAAGAATTTTATTATATAATGATTTTCATGTTAAAATAATGTTCAGTAGAATTTTTAAAAATTTTTTACAAGAAATAAATGATTTTCGATAATTTTATTGAAATTCTTTATAAGAATTCAAATATTTAAATAGATATAAAATTAAATTTCTGGAAAGAATTTAATAATTTAAAAAAATTTTAGTACATTCTTCGCAGAAATTATATTTTTAAAAATTTTAATAAAATATTTTCAAAGCTTTTATCTATTTTCATAAGCAATAAAAGTTCGTCACGGGAATTCAATTACTCACGGTATATAATTTTAATAAAATTTGTCTTTATAAATAAAATATAAATAATAATATAGAAATCAATGAAAATCTTTCTTTCTTTATTAAAAATATCCTTTGATTTTTATATGAAAAATTTTTCATTTATAAAATTGGAATAAAGGTTCTTGTTCTCTGTTTTATAATAGAGAAATGGAATTAAAAGGGTTGATATTTTTTTAATATCATTTTAATATAATTATTTTTTTGAGAAGTATTATCTTATATCGCACATTAATAATCTGCGAACTAAAGTTTCAATAGAAGATGAGAACAATACAGACGTAATCAAATGAAGATAATTAGTGAGAATAGACTATATTATTTAACGAACGGGAATGTGATTGTTTTTTGTGAAAGGAATAACGTGTACCATCTTCTGTAAGATCATCAATCTAGATTGCAGAGATCCATTCACTTTGTATTTTATGTTTTTCAATAGACGTAATTTCCTATTGATAATGATTTAGTCGCAATTTTTTCTCCAATGGCGATCGAGTTACAAAATTAAATTTTTAGAATTCATAAGAAAAATTCGAATTCTGACCAGAATGAATTTTTTAAAATTATTTAATTATTTCAAAAGTTTTAATGCAATTATCTTGATAAATAAAAAAAATTCTTCACAAAAATTCAATTATTTTTAGGAATTTTAAAAAAATTCAATTATTTTTATAAATAACAATATTCTTGACAAGAATTCAATTATTTTCCAAATTAATAAAATTCTTCGAAGAAATTCAATTATTTTTACGAATTTGAACGAATATCTCGTCAAGAATTCAATTATCTTTATAAATAGCAAAATTTTTCACCAAAAATTCAATAATTTTTAAAAATTTAAATAAAATTCTTTTCAAAATTTCAATTATTTTTAAAAGTTTTTTGTAATTCCATGATTTTATCAATATTTACTATTTTCATAAAATTTATCAAAAAATATAATTATTGAAAAAAATTGTTGATACAATTCGACGAAAACATTCAATTATTTTCATAAATAATAAAATTTCATTTAGGAATTCAATTATATTTCCACGGCAGAATTTTAAATAAATTTCACGAAAAATGCAATTATTCTTAAAAATTTTATTAAAACTTGACGAAAGAATTCAATTTTGAAGAAACATTCAATTATTCAATAAAATAATAGAATTCTTTTTTAAAATTCAATTATTTTTATAAGTATCAAAATTCATGACAAGAATTCAATTCTGAATTCAATTCTTTTGAAAAGTAATAAAATACTTTGCATAAATTAAATTATCTTCAAAATTTTCTTTTAATTCTCATCAAGAATTAAATTATTTTTATAAATAAGTAACGAAATTCTTCTCATGAATTAAATTATTGTCAAAAATGGTAATAAACTTCTTGTCAAAATTACAATTATTTAAACAAAATTTAATAAAATTCCTCGAATGAATTCAATTATTTTCATAAATCATTATTTAAATTCTTTTTAGAAATTCAAGTATTTTTAAAAATTTTAATAAAATTCTTCAAAAAGTTTTCAATTATTTTCAAAAATTGCTATAAAATTCTCTTTAATATAATAAATTTCAGTAAAATTTTAATTAAATTCCATAAAAGAAATTAATTATTTTCAAAAATTGTTAATAAAATTCTTCGTAAAAATTAACTTTTAATAAACATTTAATTATTGAATAAATTATTTATTTTTGTATTTAAATAATTGAATTCTCGTAGAATTTTTTAATAAAAATTGATTTAAAAATTAATTTTGGTTAAAATTTTAGATAATAATTTGATATTTAAAGTATTGTGACATGAATTTTTAGAAATAGTTGAATTTTGAAAAGGTTTTAAAAATTCAAATTTAGTGTCAGGGAAAAAGAGAAAATTTTGTCTGGAAATAAGGGAAAAACAAAGTTAAATTTTTGTGGCAACCCTGTACAAAATTTGTGCGAAATAAAATATTTTCTTCTGCTTTTTTTCTTTTATTAAAAAAAAGAAAAAAAATTATTTATTTTCTTTATTTACTTTCTTTACTTAATAGTTATAAAATTTCTGTAAAATAGAATATTTTCTTTTCTTCTTTTATATTGAAGAAGCAAAAAATGTTTTCTTTTTTTTTATTTCCATTTTTGCTAACAATAAGTATGTAGTTATAAAAATCCATAGATTTAAATAATTATAGCAAAAAATAAAATATTGTTTCTAATTTGAAGTTCAATTTACGTATTTAATTTTAAATTATTAGTTATTAAATATTCGTGATTTGTGAAAAGCAATTAAATTTTTAAATAGAGAAAAAAATACACTAAGTTTTTTTAGTATTTTAAGTTTTACTGTTCAATAAAGTGTTTTGTAAATTACATTCTATATGGTGTGTAAAACATTTGCAGATTATACCTACGTAACTCTAAGCATCTTTATAGGGAAAGTTAACATAATCTAAGGATATGGTACAGAACAGCAGGATGAAGAAATCTGAATGGGCATCATGCAGTATATATTTTACAATCATGTACCTATTGGCTCAGACACTTGCTGACAAGGTTTTTATATATCATTACTTTTCTCATACACACGATGCGAATGAATTCTTCCTATCAAAAATAAAAAAAAAGAATTGAAAATATTCTATAGGAATATGTTCTTTTTTTAGTTATGAAAATCTTTTGTGAATATTTATTGCTTTTTTTATCAATGACAATATTTTCTGAACATTTTTTCTTTTCTTTACTAATGAACATATTTTATGAATAGGTATTTTTTTCCAATTTTCACAAATGAAAATATTTTATGAATATTTTTTTCCTTTTCTCACTATAATGAAAATACTTTATGAATATTTTTTCCTTTCTTCACTATAATAAAAATATTTTCTATTTTATGAATATTTTTTCCTTTCGTCTTTAATAAAAATATTTTTTTTCTTTTTTTCAGGAGAAGAGACAAATTTTTAGAGAACAAGTACTTCCGGCATTAGGAGGAAAGATTCCCGAAGAGGCATTCAAAAACGATAGATTAGCTTTGAACCGTTTAAACAAAGAAGGCATTACAATTGAGGATCGACATCCGCGCGTAAAAAATCATCATCAAAAGCATTCACCATCAAATGATATTTTAAAGGCGAGTAGAATATTTATATTTATATAGAAATATAAATTTTTTATTTACTATTAACTTAATAAAATTATTGATGATAATACTAAATAGAACTAAGCAATACCAAATAATACTAATTACTCATAAATAATACTAATTACTACTAAATAATATTAATTAAAGCTAAACAATACTAATTAATTCTAAATAATACTGATTACCACTAAATAATACTAATTAATGCTAGATAATACTAATTAATACTAAATAATACTAATTACTAATAAATAATACTAATTAATGCTAAATAATACTAATTAATGCTAAACAATACTAATTAATATTAAATAATTCTAAATAATACTAATTAATAATATTCTAATTATTAATTCAAATTAATGCTAAATAAAACAAATTAATACTAAATAATGCTAAATAATACTAATTAATACTAAACAATACTAATTAATATTAAATAATTCTAAATAATACTAATTAATAATTTTCTAATTATTAATTCAAATTAATGCTAAATAAAACAAATTATTACTAAATAATGCTAAATAATACTAATTAATACTAAATAATACTAATTAATACTAAATAATACTAATTACTAATAAATAATACTAATTAATGCTAAATAATACTAATTAATGCTAAACAATACTAATTAATATTAAATAATTCTAAATAATACTAATTAATAATTTTCTAATTATTAATTCAAATTAATGCTAAATAAAACAAATTAATACTAAATAATGCTAAATAATACTAATTAATACTAAACAATACTAATTAATATTAAATAATTCTAAATAATACTAATTAATAATTTTCTAATTATTAATTCAAATTAATGCTAAATAAAACAAATTAATACTAAATAATGCTAAATAATACTAATTAATGCTAAATAATGCTAATTAATATTAAATAATACTAATTTATACTGAATAATACTGATTAATATTGACCACGAAGAGTCACAGCCGGAATTTTTATAAAAAAAGAATTTTTTGTTTATTCAAATAATTGAATTCACAAAGAACTTTCTAAAAATTACACAAAATAATTAATTTAGAGAAAAATTTTAATTAAAAATTCTGGAAAATAATTGAATTTTGGAAAATTTATAGTATATACATATTTAGAAACAATGTATATATGTATTTAAAAATTCTGAACAATTTAGTTTTTCGAAAAATTGTAATTGAAATTTTTTTTAAAATTAATTTAATATTTGAATAAAAAATTAATTGAAAAATTTTCTACTAATCAGAATTTTGTAAAATAGAATTGAAAGAAATTGTATTTTAAGTGAACATTATTTTTTTTCTGAATTATTAAATTCTGAAAAAACATTCAGAAAATTATTAAAAATAATTGATTTAGAAGAGAATTTCTTTATTAAAACTCTAAAAAATAATTGAAAATTTGGAGGAGTAACAGAATAAATTTTTAGAACTGAAAATTAAAATATAATGCAAAAATATTTTGAATCATCGTAAAATAGAATTGAAAATAATTTAATTTAAAATTGTATTCTAAATCAACTTTCTTTTTTCTCAAATAATCGAATTCTCTCAAAAAAAAACATTTAGAAAATTATTAAAAATAATTGACTTAGAGGAGAATTTTAATTAAAAACTCTAGAAAATAATTGAAAATTGGATAAATTATATAAAAGAAATTTTTAAAATACTGAAAATTAAAATTAGTATACTAATTAAAATAGTTGAATTTTATTTAAAAAATTTTTTTTTTTAATTTTAATTTTTTATTTCAAATTATATTTTGTTTTAAATTAAAATATTAAAATATTTTAATTTTCAATAATTTTAATTAAAAATTCTACACAACCTAGTTATTTGAAATATTTTTATTAAAATTTTTTTAATTTATAATTGAATTCTTGAAAGTAGAATAGAAAAATTTTTTAATTATCGAAATTTCGTAAAATTGAATTAAAAACAATAGTGAATTTTAGAAGTATTTTAATTAAGCTTTCTTTATTTTTGAATAATTGAATTTCTCAAAGAAATTTCTCAAAAATGATTGAAAATAATTTATTTAGAAAAGAATTTTAGTTAAAAATTCTGGAAAATTGAATTTTTGAGAAGTTGCAGTATAACAATTTTTTGAAACAATTACATTTCAGAAGTAATTAGTAATTAATTGAAAAATTGTTAAACAATAATAGTAAATTTCGTCAATTTTTAATTTTTATTGAAATAAATTTTATATTTTTAAAAATTTTATTATAATTTTTTAAAAAATAATCGTGTTTTTGTCTTTTGAAGAAAAATATGAAAAAATATTTTGAAAATAATTGAATTTTACAAAAACTTAGAATTGAAGTTATCGGAATAAGGGAGGAAGTTAAAAATTTTTCGAAATTAGGGAATTGTTAGTGAAATTCAAAATTTAATTAAAATTAAAACCAATTAAAAATATTTTATATTAAAAGTTTAAAACCAAAAAATCGATTTCTTTTTATAAACTTTTATAATAAATTTAAATAATCTCTTAATAGACGACGAATTTCAGTGTAAATAATTGAATATTATATTTGAATGTTAATTAAATATTTATTCAATGTTAATTGATTGTTTATTTAATTTTAATTTTTAATTGCATTTTAATTGAATTTTAATTGTCCTTTATAAGGTTTACGTCTCTGAGAATAATAATTTGAAGCAAGTTGATACAACCTACATAATACGAAAACCAATAGAACATGGAAATAATCAACAAACGGACAATCATTACAGTTATAAATTTAATGTTTTTAATAAGCCATCGCAAGATTATTCGAGTCATCAAGAGCACAATTATCAGTCATTAATAAAATCGAAACAACTTCAACCCATTATTATTCAGCCATCAGCTGTCGGTCATCTTGGGACCAGTAATTATTATCAGAAATCTTATTATCCATCTTGGACTTTTGTTTATGACTGGAACACTTTTTATCAACTCTTGAACGACTATTACAGGAATGTTGCTCTCATTAATTCACAACAGGTAAATAAATTCTTTTTCTATAGAAAATCAAAAAACAATAATTGATTTTAAAAGAATGAAGTTCTTTTTTGTAAAAGATAATAAATTTAATATATAAATTTATAAATATTTATAAATATATTTTATAAATAAATTTTAATACATAAATTATAAAAAAATTACAAACAAATAAATCTTTATTTCATTTTAAAAATATTTCTTGAAAGGATTCAATTATTTTTCAAAAATTTCGATAAAATTCTTTCACAAGAATTCAAATATTATCAATAGAATTTGAATAAAATTTGTAGTAAAAATTCAATTATTTTCAATCAAAACAATATTAGAATTAAATTCTCTATATATTATGAATTCAATTATTTTCAAACATTTTGATAAAATTCTTTACAAGTATTGAATAATTTTCAATTCATAAGAATTCTATTACTTTCTGTACAATTCTAATAAAATTCTTCCAAAGAAATACAATTATTTTTATAAATAATACAATTCATCTTAGGAATTCAATTATTTTTTTTAAATAAAATTTATTAAACGAATTCAATTATTTTAATTACAGTTTTAATAATTATTTATTTTATTATTTTCTTACAAAAATGATAAAATTTTGTGTGGAATTTCAATTAATTTCAAGAATTCAATTATTTTCAGTAGTAATAAAATTCTTCGTTGAAATTCAATTATTTTCACAAATATTAAAATTCTTTACAAGAATTCAATTATTTTCAGTAATAACAAAATTCTTCGTTGAAATTCAATTATTTTCACAAATATTGAAATTCTTTGTAAGAACATTCAATTATTTTGGATACAATTTTACTAAAATTTGTTGAAAATTTTCAATTTTAAGGCGATTTTGCGAAAGAATTTAATTATTTTCTTTCAAAAATTTTAAAATTCCGTGCAGAATTTAAATTAATTTCAATTAATAATAATAAATTTATTAGTAAAATTTGAAGAATGTCTTTGAATTTTTTTTTTAAACAATGGAGTTTCTTTAATAATTTTAATTGCTAATTTTGAAAGCAATTGAATTTTATAAAGAAAATTTTTATTAAAATTGAATTTAGAATAATTTAATTCTTGCGAAAAATTTATTAAAATTTTTAGGAAATAGATGAAAATGGAAATATTTAAAAATATTTGAATTCATTCAAGGAATTCAATTAAAATTGTTTTAAAAGTAATTGAATTCCTGCAGAGAATTTTACTATTTATAAAAGTAATTGAATTATTGAGAAGAATTTTACTATTTATAAAAATAATTGAAATGTTTCGAAGAATTTATTACAATTTTAGAACATAATTGAAATTTATGTAAATATTTAAAAATATTTGAATTCATCCGAGAAATTCAATTAAAATTGTTTTGAAAATAATTGAATTCCTGCAAAGGATTTTACTATTTATAAAAATAATTGAAATGTTCAGAAGAATTTATTAAAATGTTAAGAAATAATTAATTTGTTATAAAGAATTTTATAGAAATATTTGATAATAATGAAATTTTTTCGAGAAATTCAATTAAAGTTGTTTCGAAAATAATTGAATTTCTCTAAAGAATTTTATTAAAATTAAGTATATTCAAAATAATTGAATTCATCACAAGAATTTTATTATTTTTTGAAAATAATTGAATTCTTTCAATTTTTTTGACATATATATTTAAAAATTGCATTGAAAGTAATTTAATTTTTATATAGAATTTTTTAAAAATATTTTGAGAATAATTGAATTATTTTCAGAGAATTTTTTAAATTCTTGTTGAAATTGAATTTTATGGAAATTTTTGAAAATAGTTAAATTCTTTCGTGTAATTTTATTTAAATTTGATTAAAATTAATTAGAAAAAAATTGAATTTTTTCCAAATGTGTTCAAAATTAAAAAAAAAATGAATTCTTCCGATGAATTCAATTAAAATTGTTTTGGAAATCATTGAATTTTTGTAAAGATTTTACTATTTAAAAACATAATTGAATTGTTAAATTTTAATTAACGAATTGTACAAATAGTTTGCTAAAAAAAGATTAAATTGAATTAATTTATAAATTTAAATGTTCGTTTATTATCGAAAATTATTATTCATTATAATATAAATATAAAATAAGGAACTGGCGAGTTAAGTTTTAATGAACGAACTATATGCAAATTTAATGCTAAAAATCTAATTGAATTAATTAAGAAATGTACGTTTTCGTTTGTTATTGAAAATTATTATTACCCTCACAGCATCGGGATATTCAGGATATTCCAGAGACGTCCTGGGGATATCGATTTGTTTTCGGAAGTTTGGATATCCCTGGAATATCCTCTGGATATCCATGGACGTCCCTAGGATATCCCAGAGATATTCAAACTTCCGAAAACAAATCGATATCCCCAGGACGTCTCTGGGATATCTTGAATATCCCGGTGCTGTGAGGGTATTGTAATGTAGCAAATGGAGAGAGAGAAAGGAGTTAAATTTCAATTAACGAACAACGGAAATTAATTGTTAGAAAAAGATCCAATTAAATTAATTTAAAAAATGTACATTTTCGTTTACTATCGATTTTATTGAAAAAAAAAATGAAAAATAGAAAATATAAATAATTTATATCGTAAGATGTTACGTTACATCTCGAATGAAAGTAAAATCTCAGATGAACCCACGTGCTATTATGCCAGTAAAAAGAATCTTCACAAATCATATATATACTTATTATCCAACATACTTATATTGAAGATACATTTCAATTCACTTTCTCAGATGAAATCTTGAAATTAATGTATGTCTAAAAGTCATTTCACTTTATAAATTACCTATTAAAGTTAATTAATTATTAAATTTAAAATAATGTATTAATCGTATGTATTTATTATACTATTTTAGTTTTATAATTATGCAATTATAATTATATAATTATTTATCAAATATATGTCAGCTTGTCCCTTATATTTGATAAATAAATAAATAAAAAAATAATAATATTTATAATTTTCTTTATTATATTAATATGATATTGCTTTGTTTATTTCAAGAAAATCAAGTCAAAAAAATAATTATGTTGATAATAATACTGCTATTAATAATAATTATTACAATTATAATAACAATAACAAGAACAATAAAATAACAATAATGAATAAATAAATAATTATAAATACTATTTTTTTTTAATTAAAAAAACACTATTTTATTATAAATAATAATAAGTATTTAATTTTTACAGATCATCTAGAAATATAAAAAGATTCGTCAAGAAAAAATGCGTAACAATTAAACATCTTTATATCTATTGTTTAAATAATGGAGAAATGAATGTTTTAATATATAAAATAAGACTGTTATTTCAAAAGTGCCAGCACTTTTGTAAAAAAAGTAATAAAAAAAATATTATAGTGACTTAAAAACTTTTCGTCGTGTCATAATGAAGTCAGCTACAAAATGATCTAAATGGATAATGTTAATTTTTCACATTATTGTCGAATTAAAATTAGCCAGAAAACAAGACGTAATTAGTTTATAAACATTATAAATGTACCGTTGATGTCCCAGTTTTCGAAAATTATAATGTAAATTAATTTTTTTTAAACACACACTTTTGTCTTGGAATATATATTTAAGCAAATAATTGAATTACTAATTCACGTAATTTCCTTTGAGGAAATCATTTTTTGTTATTCTCGCAAAAATTAAACTGATGGACAAAAAGTAGGACACTAGGACATCGACGGTAAATAATTTGTAAATTAATAATTTTTATCTATTATAATTATTTTTTCTTATTCTTCTTATTCTTATTATTATGTGTTGTATTGTATAATTAAATAACAATTAATGTAATTATTTATTATAAAATTGTGTATTAATAATAATGTATAAATACTATAATAAGAATTAATAATAAAATAATAAACGTATATATTATTATTCTAAATAAAAAAATTGTAATATTTCGATTATACTTTATTATTATTATTATTATTTATTATTATAATTATTATTATTAATCTCATAAGATTTAGAGATCAAATTAGATACATAAGAAAATTTTTAATTGTATTTATAATTATGATATTATATATTCGTTAATATAAGTTGTTAAAATTTATTTTCAAGTTTAATTTAATTTGAAGATTTATCACAAAAAATAGAATTTTCATTTTATAATGAAATAGAGAAAGCAATGTTTAAAAAAAATTTAATTATTCTTAACACAGTTGTGAATAAAATTTCAAGAAGGAAGCCAAAGAATTTTTAGTATATTTAAAACAATGTTAATAAAATTCTTCAAAACAATTAAATGAACCTCAAAAATTAGAATTTTTGTAAAGTATTAAATTATTTTCAAAAATTTTATGATGAAATTCACTTGTAGGAATTTATTTTCAAATACAATTGAAATTAATTTCTACGTAAATTTATGAACATATTTTTAAATAATTAAATTCTTTCGATGAATTTTACTAAAAACTTTTAAGAATAATTACATTTTTTAAGAAATTCGATTAAAATTGTATTTAAAAATAATTGAATTTCTGCAATGAGTTTTATTATTTATGAAAATAATTGAATTTTTAAAAAGAATGTTATTGTTTACGAAAATAATTGAATCCCTGTGAAAATTTTATTATTTATGAAAATAATTGAATGACTGTGAAGAAATTTATAAAAAATTTGTAAATAATTAAATTGCTGTGAAATTTTTATTATTTTATGGAAATTATTAAAGGTTTCCGTAGAATTTTAATAATTTTTAAAAAATAATTTAATTCTTTTGAAATATTTTTTTAAAATAGTAGATAATTATTAATAATATCATTGAATTGAGAAAAATTTTTGTAAATTATGAAAATTTTGCCAAGAATATTATTAAATTTTTTAAAAATAATTGAATTTCGGAGAAGAATTTAATTATTTCTAATAATAATTGAAATTTTTAAGAGAATTTTTAAAAAATGTTGAACATAATTGAATTTCTGCGCGAAGAATTTAATTACTTTTGAAAATAATTGTATTTCCGCAATAATTTGTAACTTTTCCAAAATTAAATTTTTTTTCTCGTGTTTTTAAGTTAAAATTCTTCTATAAATGCGAATAATTTTTAAAAAAGTTCCTTGAGAATTTTCAAATTAATTTGTTTACAATTCAATTTTATAAAATTTCAATTATTCGTAAATTCTTTAATTAAATATGTATTAGAAAATAAAAACTTTAAATAATTTCCCTAAAAAATTCACAATTAAAATTTCTCAAAAAAATTAATTCCACAGAATTGTTAATTAAAAATATGAAAAATTCAGATTTTCAAAGATTTTAATTTGAAACCTATTCAAAATTCAATTATTTCCAAAAATTGCCGCTCTAATGCTTTTAATATTCAAATATTATTTAAAATTTTTACTGAAATTCATTTTTAAATCAATTTTTATTAAAAAATTCTACTAATAATATTCAATTGTTTAATTACAAAAAAAAACAATTTTTTGAATAATTGCATGTTTCTTAAAATTGAATTCTCATAAAGAATTATTTCAATAAATTTTTAAATAATTGAATTCTTTGGACGATATTTAATAAAATTTTTTAAAATAATTTCATTTCTCGAGAAATTAAATTAAAATTGTATTAAAAATAATTGATATTCTGCGATGAGTTTTATTATTTATGAAAATAATTGAATTCCTGTGAAATTTTTATTATTTATGAAAATAATTAAATTTTTGCATACAATTTTATTAAAATTTCTTTTTAAATAATTGAATTCTTTTAGGTAATTTTATTAAAATAGTAGATATACTGAAAATCGTTGAAATTTTGAAATGAGGAAAATTTTTGAAAATAATTTAAATTTTGAAGAAGAATGTTATTAAAATTTTTGAAAATAATTGAATTTTGAAGAAGAATTTTATTATTTATAAAGATAATTGATATTTTGACAAGATTTGTTTTTAAATTTTGAACATAAGTGATTATATATAATAAGAATTTTATTACTTTTGAAAATAATTGAATTTCTGCAATCATTTGTAACTTCTTCAAAATTCAAGTTTTTTTTTTTAGTGTCTTTAACTAAAATTCTTCTATAAATTTATTATTTTTAATAATTTATTAAATATATATTGACAAATTTAACTAATTCTAGAAGATTTTGAATTATTAAAATTTTTCAAAAATCTAAGTTCATAAAAATTTCTAATTAAATTCATTGAACAATTGAAATTTTATAAAATTTCAAATTGTCTAAAAATTTAATTTCTTTTCAGTTCTTTTTAATAAAAATCCTTCACTTTTTCCTGAATTCCCTGTGTCAGAGTATATGATTATTATATATAGTTATATAATAAAATTAAAACTATATTACAATTCATATTTTATTTTTATGAAAAAAATTTAATAAAAATGAATTAAAAATTTTTACGTTCTATTACTTTTAAAATTGCTACATTTATTTAAAAAAGTGAGCTATAGTTAGTTAAATAATATAATTAAGCAAGAATCCGACAATCATTTGGAATAAAAGTTTGTCCAATATCATAATATCGTATTTTAACAGACAAAAGGTAAATTAAATTTTAAATTATTTTTAGTGGAAGGGTAAAGAATTTAATTTGGCTTTGTCAATTAAAATAGGAAATTATGATAGTACTGGAATAATTTATGATTTAACAATCCGTCAGATTCTCTTTTGAATAATTAATAAATTTTATAATTAAAATAAATATTCAAATTTAGTTTATATTACATTCTTCTGTATTCGTAATAATGTAATTATTTATCCATTGCATATGCCGTACATTCATATTTTATCAACTTTTGTTAATGAGAAAAATTATCAATTCCTGTAGATATAGGTATAAAAAGATAAATAAATTTTTATGAAAATTGAAAAAATAAGTTCTTTTTTGCTCAAAATTTTGTGATAAAAAAATGATTAAAGGAGAATGTCATATAGCAAAGAACCTGTCTCCCACAACGAGAGAGATATATCTGGTTGTGAGTGCAACATGCAACTGATTACGGTTCTGCAATTACCCATAGAGAACATACAACATACGGGATATGCCTTGAGGGTAGTGTAGAAGGGGGCTGCCATGAAACTTTCTCTGTGACATAATTTCACACCGTCCAGCTGGACCAGTTTAACTTAACATCAAACAGAGTTCAGATATGGCGAGGTGTGCTATCCGTGTTATTGTTCTTTGCACCCTTTTGGTGCTGGTAACTTTCGAGCAAGGAAAAAGCGATTATCAGGGTAAATCCGACGTCAATTTTCAACAAGTATGTATTATATAGTATATATATATATATATATATATATATATATATATATATAGTCGCACATTAATCAATGTATTTCATGTATGAAATTAAGTCTCTCGATAATAAATTTCTAATTGCCAATCTATGTATATCGCATACCTCTGCTATTTTAGTTTATACATCATTAAGATGGAAAATTTTTATTTCCCCCCATTTTTTTTCTATTATATATATATATTTCACGAATGTTAATTTACACTTGCTTCAAATTTAATGCCGGTAATGAATGTTCAATTTACCACTATAGTAAATATTTAATGTTTATAAAAGTTTTATTATTCTTTAATTGCATTCCTATTTGTTTGATTGCATTCTTTCGTGAAATACGATTTCTGTTTTTCACCCTTTTCTATTTTTTATTTCAATTCTTGCTTTTATTTCAATTTCGCTACATAAAATTTTACTATTAGTTAACATACTAACTAGTTAACATATTAACTATTTATTAACAAACTATTTATTAACACTATTAATTCATTTTCTTGTTCATTTCAATTTTTATTTTTTATTCCATTTTTTATTTTTCATTCAATTCTCATTTTTATTTTCACTTAAATTTGAATTTCTATTCTCATATCAATTTTCGTTGTAATTTCAATTTCTGATTTGATTTCTAGTTACATTTTTTATTTTTATTTCAATTTGCATTTGAATTGAAATGTAAAACATTTGAATTCTTATTTAAATTTGAATTCATTTACATTTTAATTTCTATTTTTATTTCAATTTTTATCTTATTAATTTGAGTCTTAATTTCAATTTTTGTTTGAATTTTTTATTGTTTGGTACAATTATTAGGTTTAAATTTACATATTTATTTCAATTCATATTTGAAATTTTATACTCATTTACATTTTAATTTCCATTTTAATTTCAATTTTTATTTTAATGATTACATCAATTTTTATTTTTGTTTTATTGTTATTTTTGTTATTTGCATATTTATTTCAATTCTAGTTTAAATGTTTACTTTTATTTCAATTTTTATTTTATTAATTTGAGTTTTTATTTCAATTCTTGTTCAAATTTTTTATTTTTTCTTACAATTGTTATTTAAATTTGCATATTTATTTCAATTCTTGTTTAAAATTTTATACTCATTTATATTTTAATTTCCATTTTAATTTCAATTTTTATTTTGATGATTACCATCAATTTCTATTTTATTAATTTGAGTCTTTATTTCAATTCTTGTTCGAATTTTCTATTTTTTCTTACAATTATTATTATTCAAATTTGCATATTTATTTCAATTCTTATTTGAAATTTTATACTCATTTACATTTTAATTTCTATTTTATTTAAAATTTTTATTTTGATGATTACAGCAATTTTTATTTTCGTTTTACTATTATTTAAGTTATTTGCATACTTATTTCAATTCTAATTTGAATGTTTACTTTTACTTCAATTTTCATTTGAATTATTTGCACAATTATTTTACATTTTATTTGAATTTTTATTGCAATTATTTTGAAAATTTTCATAATTACTTCATTTTTTATTTGAATTTTTGTTCAATTCTTGTTTTAATTTTTTTACATTTTAATTTTCGTCTTTATTAAAATATGTTTATATTCCTTTTCATCTGTATTTTTTAAATTTTTATTTCTATTTTTAGTTCAATTTAAAATTTTCTTTTTTCAATTTATTTCAATTTTTTACTTAAATATTTTTTTTACTTTTTTTTATTTTAAACTTTACTTTTAATTCAATCTTTTATTTCAATTTCTTTTTAATTTTAATTTTTACTTATTTTTTATTAGAAATTTTTTATTTCAATTTTTTCTATTATAGGAATTTTTGTTATTATTATTTCAATTTTCATTTGGAAATTTTATTTTAGTTTTAAATTTCATTTTTAGTTAAATTTGTATTGAACATGTTTACTTTTAATTTCAATTTTTTTTTTTTTTTTGAAATCTTACTTTTAAGGGCATTTGAAACTTGATGACGTCACACATGCTTTGCACAAACTGAAACGTCATCAAGGTTCAAATGCCCTTAATTGAATTTATTATTTTAATTCTTTAAATTTTAATTTTCATCTTTGTGTTAATTTTTATTTGAATTTTTATATTTAATTCAATTCGTACTTCAATTTTTATTTTAATTTCAATTTTTATATTTCTTTTTATTTGAATTTTTTATTTTTATTTGAATTTTCTTTTCGATTTTCTTTTGGATTTTTTTAAACTTCAAATTTCATCGTTTTTTTCAATTTTTATTTCAATTTTGATTTAAAACCTTACAGTTAATTAATTTTTTTATTTCAATTTTCATTTTTGAATTAATTCTTATTTCAATTTTTAATTTTATTTGAATTTTGTTGTTTCAATTTTCATTAAAAAATTTTTTTTACTTCAATATTAAGTTTTAATTTTTTTTAATTGCTCAATGTTTATATTGACTTCAATTCTTTTTTGAATATTTACTGCAATTTGAATTTGAATTTCAATTTTCATTTTAATTTTTTACATTAATTTCAATTTTTATTTCGATTATAAATGTAAAAAAATCCAAATAATAATTGAAATGAAATAATTGAAATAATTGAAATGAAGAATTGAAAAAAATTGAAATAGAAAGCAAAATAAAAATAGATATTAACGTAAGTAGGTAATTAAAATAAAAATTGAAAAAAAATTATATCAATTATTTAATTATTCAATTTCATATTTATTTCAATTCTTTTTTGAATTTTTTCTTCAAAATTTTTATTTCAATTTTTATTTTAATAGTTTTGAGGTTTTGACGGTTCTGTCTTTTCTGCTTAAAATTATATTTCTAAATCAATTTTTGTTAAATAAAATAGTTAATAATTAATAATTAGTCATTAATTAATATTCTTTATTGTAAATAAATAAGAATAATAAACTCCTTAATAAATAATTAATTAAAAATAGTTAATTATTAATATGCAATAAGAAAAATTAATTAATTTATTAACTATAATTATTAATAATAATTATTTAGTATAGTTATTAATAATAAATAATAATATTACTTAATTATTATTAAATAAATAATTAATAGTTATTAATAAAAAGAATTTTTTAATATTTTGAAGTAATTATTTATCAATAATTGAAAGTGTAATTGAACTAATTGAAAATTTAAAAAAAAATGTCTAATCACAGAAACGACAAGTGGAATATGCCGACTATCAGGATTATCCGGAATTCCAGCCGATAGCTCCCGTTGAACGACCTTCACCATTATCATTATTAAAAAAGAAAAAGGAGCAACAAGATTTCAGTAAAATTCCCGGTGAACCATGGGTGGATTATCCAATTTTTCACGTTGTCCCAGAGACAAAATTCTCTTGCTCCCAAGTGCCAGCCTTACCAGGAATGTATGCGAATGTCGAAACTGGCTGTCAGGTATAAAGAATTTTCTTTATTGTATATAAATAAAAATATTAAACTCCTTCGATTTACAATTTCATGCCTCGTTAACGGCGTTCTTTTCACTTTCACATCTAGAGCAAGGATTTCCTTATTTACTTATATATGTGTGTATCTATATTTGTATATATATATATATATATATATATACGATTGCAAAAAAAAATTGCATGCAAATATTTCGGAAATGGGCGTTTTTATTGTAATATTTATTATACATAAAAGGGAAAATTATTGAGAAATTATTTTTTTTTTAATTAAAAAACAAACTATTAGTTTGAATTATAATATTAAAATTAAGTCGATAATGACAGTAAGAATATTATAATTATTATAATAAACTGGCAAACAACGCTTCTGGTTGTGAAAATAGAATAATTTTATTTATTTTTTTATTTCATTTTTTTCTTTTCTTTTATTTTTTGATTTATTTCAATTCTTACTTTCCTTTAATTTTTTTTTCATTTTAATTTTAAATTTCATTATACAATTTTTATTTTTATTTTTTTTTTAATACTTATTTTAATTCTCATCAATGTTTTTCATAATTTTTCAATTCTTATTTTTAGTTTCGTTTCAATTATCCACATCCTTTTGAACTCTTTTTTGATGTTTATTATTTTAATTATCATAATTTTTCAATTTTTATTTTGAGTTTTATTTCAATTAAATTCAAGACTCAAACCAGTGAAAAGTATTTAAAAATTTAATTTTAAACTAAAATTTTTCTTTAAATCGATTATTTTTTAATAATTTTCGGAAAAGTTCTTTGACAATTTTCAAATCCATTTGTTTACAATATTCAATTTTGAAAAATTTCAATTATTCAAATTCAATTAAATAAATATTAGAAAATAAAAACTTCAAATTATTTTTAATAAAATTCAATTAAACTTTGTCAAAAAAATTAATTTCAAAATTCAATTATTTCTAAAAATTCAAGCTATATTTCTTTTAATATTCAATTATTATCTAAAATTTTAACTGAAATCTATTTTTAAATCAATTTTTATTAGAAAATTCTACTAGAATTTAATTATTTACATACAAAAATAAATAATTTATTAAATAATTGAATGTTTTTAAAAATTGAATTCCCATAAAGAAGTTTATCAACAAATTTTTAAATAATTGAATTCTTTCGACGAATTTTAATAAAAGTTTAAAGAATAATTACATTTTTCGAGGAATTCGATAAAAATTGTATTAAAAATAATTGAAATTCTGAGATGAATTTTATTACTTTTGAACAATATTTAATTTTTCCGAAGATTATTATTATGCTTTTGAAAATAATTGAATTCATACAATAGTTTGTAACTTTTCCTTTTCAAAATTCAATTATTTCTATAAATTCACGCTCTAATGCTTTTAATATTAAATTATAATCTAAAATTTTAGACACATTTTAGAACTCAAATACATTTTTAAATCAATTATTATTAGAAAATTCTACTGGAATTCAATTATTTAAATAAAAAAACAATTTATTGAATAATTGCATGTTTCTTAAAATTGAATTCTCATAAAGAATAATATTAATAAATTTTTAAATAATTGAATTCTTTGGATGATATCACAGGCACACAAAAAAAAAAAGTTGTCTGTTCATTGAACCAGACCTACATGTCTTATAGTATTTTGGCCCCCTGAATACGAATATGAAGTCAGAATTGCTCCATCACCCTCTGTTTTTTTTTAAATCGAAAAAACTACCCTTAAGTCTAAAATTCAAGAACTAAATTTAAAAAAATGAAATAACCGCGGTTTTCTTCTGAGTAGAAGAATATATTTATGCGTATTCTTCTTTCAACAACTTAGAAATAATGTCAAAATTGCTCCATCACCCCCTGTTTTTTTTAAATCGAAGAAACTACCCTTAAATAAAAAATTCAAGAACTAAATTTAAAAAAAATGAAATAACATTATTTCTGAGTTGTTGAAAGAAGAAAACGCATAAATATATTCTTCTACTCAGAAGTTAACCGCGGTTATTTAATTTTTTTAAATTTAGTTCTTGAATTTTTTATTTAAGGGTAGTTTCTTCGATTTAAAAAAAAACAGGGGGTGATGGAGCAATTTTGACATTATTTCTGAGTTGTTGAAAGAAGAAAACGCATAAATATATTTTTCTACTCCGAAGGAAACCGCGGTTATTTCATTTTTTTTAATTTAGTTCTTGAATTTTTGATTTAAGGGTAGTTTCTTCGATTTAAAAAAAACAGGGGGTGATGGAGCAATTTTGACATTATTTCTGAGTTGTTGAAAGAAGAAAACGCATAAATATATTTTTCTACTCCGAAGGAAACCGCGGTTATTTCATTTTTTTTAATTTAGTTCTTGAATTTTTTATTTAAGGGTAGTTTCTTCGATTTAAAAAAAACAGGGGGTGATGGAGCAATTTTGACATTATTTCTGAGTTGTTGAAAGAAGAAAACGCATAAATATATTTTTCTACTCTGAAGGAAACCGCGGTTATTTCATTTTTTTTTAATTTAGTTCTTGAATTTTAGACTTAAGGGTAGTTATCTCGATTTAAAAAAAAACAGAGGGTGATGGAGCAATTCTGACTTCATATTCGTATTCAGGGGGCCAAAATACTATAAGACATGTAGGTCTGGTTCAATGAACAGACAACTTTTTTTTTTTGTGTGCCTGTGTATTTAAGAAAATTTTTAAAAATAATTTCATTTCTCGAGAAATTAGATTAAAATTGTATTAAAAATAATTTAAATTCAGCAATCAGTTTTATTATTTATGAAAATAATTGAATTCCTAAAAAGAATTTTATTATTTACGAAAATAATTGAATCCCTGTAAAAAATGTTTTTATTTATGAAAATAAATTTTGCCAAGCATTTTATTAAAATTTTTGAAAATAATTGAATTTTGGAGAAAAATTTTATTATTTATAAAGATAATTGAAATTTCGACAAGAATTTTTGTTAATTTTTTAACGTAATTGAATTTCTGCGAAGAATTATATTACTTTTGAAAATAATTGAATTCTTGAGACGAATTTTATTAAAATTTCTTTTTAAATAATTGAATTCATTTGTGAAATTTTATTGAAATAGTAGACATTGAAAGTAATTGAATTTTGACAAAATTTAATTTAAAAATGTATTGATAATATAGGCAAAGATTTTTAAAATAATTGAATTTCTTTCATAAATTTTAATACAATTTTTAAAAATAATTTCATTTTTCGAGAAATTTAATGAAAATTGTATTAAAAATAATTAAAATTCTGCGATGAGTTTCATTTTTCTTTTTTGAAAAAAATTGAATCCCTGTAAAAAAATGAAAATAATTTGTAAATAATTGAATTCCTGGGAAATTTTTATTATTTATGAGAATAATGAAATGTTTGTGTAGAATTTTATTAAAATATTTTTTAAATAATTGAATTCTTTTGGAAAATTTTATTAAAATTAGATATTAAAAATCATTGAATTGAGGAAAATTTTTGAAAATAATTGAAATTTTGCCAAGAATTTTATTAAAATTTTTGAATATAATTGAATTTCGGAGAAGAATTTTATTACTTTTGAAAATAATTGAATTTCTGCATTCATTTGTAATTTCTCTAAAATTCTTCAAATATTATTGTACAATTTACGAACTTTTCGTCTTTTCTCAATCAAATTACGAACTTTCCGAACCTTTTTTTTTTAAAAAAAAACTGTCTTTTACGGACTTTAAGCATATTTACGAAACTTTACGGGATTTCGGAACCTAGTTCGAGCCCTGGTAATTTTTATTTCTTTTTGTTAATGATGATTATTATTTTAATTATGAATTTTTTTCAATATTTATTTGAGTTTTATTTCAATTATTTATTGACATGTAAATTATAATCATATACTCGATCATATATTTTTCAATTTTGATATATTGATTTTTAATATTAATTTTTATTACAAAATTCTTATTTTTATTTGATTTTTGAATTTTTTTATTTAAAAAAAATAAAATTTTATATGTAAACTTAATTACAATGTATAAATGCACATAAATTATTCAATCATACAGAAAATTCAAATAATTATAAATTGATTATAAAATGTATAACAATACATGCATAATAAAACAATTCATGCAAAACAATACAAATTAAAATTTGTCTCACCTGAATGGGTTAAGAAAAACGAAAAAAAAACTGAAACTGAAATCCAGAGGATCATATAATGATTTAATAAAATGAAAATTTAAAATTTACTCTTTTTACAAACATAACTTATTTATAATTCCATATCATCTAAATCAATAAATAAATTATATATCCTTCAATGAAATGAAAATTTTCCATAACAGTATATTTAAAACAGTGATTTGTATATATAAATTTACAATTAATAGCGTTATTGAACTCGTGCACTGAACTCACCAACGTGATATATCATATATAGTAATATACTTTATGCAAAATTAGATTATCTTTTTTTTACACACGTATGATTAACAATTTATATATCTCCCGGAGATATATTTTTCACTGTATATATATATATATATATATATATATATATACTTGATATTTTGATGTGGGTGGTGAAATTTAAAAATAATTTTTCAAATCAAAAGAAAAAAGATAAATATCATGCATATTGCATTTTATCCGCGAGTACTTCAGTCAACCTAAATAGTTTCACAATTTAGATGTTTGATAAAGAAGGAAACAGGAAAGGCGGTATCAGCAACTTTGAGAACGGATAAAATTCACAGTGGAATATTATCGGTGTGAAATCGTATCAAGGTCTGCAGCGGATGAAAGTATCCGCTAACGCACCAGGGTCACGCAGGTTATGAAATTATTTAGAAAAAAGAAATCATCAGAGGTGGGGAAAATTACGGTTATTTCAAATGAGACTTATTAATAAACGCCAATTACTTACCTCTGTGTTTTATTTTTATATTTCTCTTTTCATTTTTAATTTCTTTTTATAGAAATATTTATCTTGTAAAAAGAAATTAAAAAATATTTTTTTTTTATTGAAAGATAAAAGAGAATTTTTATTTTAAAAAGAAATATAGAAAATTTATATATATATATATGTTAATAATAATTATAATATACATAAATATATTGAAGGAAATAACATATTGAGAAAGACGTGAACTTTTGTCTTGTATAATATATTTTTATCTTTGGGAAATTGTTGAGTATTTATTTATAGAATTTATATTACGAGCGTGTGTATAAATTTTTTTTTTATAAATTTTCTTTTTATATTTCTAGGATATCTTAATTATTGTTTCGCTATTATACAAAAAAAATCCAACTCGTATTAAGCTAATTACTTGGAAAAAAAAATTATCCTAAATAAAAAAAAAATACTTATGCACTTCTTTAATTCTTCGGAGAAAAAGATGCGGTAAAAATAATATATATGAAAACTATGGTAGATTACGTAGTTACTTCAAACAATACACAATACATTGCAAATTTCACAAAATGTCCTTTTGCATTCTAAATTTAGCTTCTTTTTAAATGTTCAAACCATGAGGGTCATTGACTTTTCCCTTAATTATCATTCTTTATTTTTTCTGTCTGTATAATTTTTTTTTTTTCCTAGAAAAATGTCGAGTTTATTTGAAAATTTTTTTTATCTTTAGTGGCATTGAATTTTTCATCACTAACAATAACAACAAAAAATAATAATAAACTTTTACTGTACTTAGGTGTCATTAATTTTGACTTTCGAATTTTTATTCATGTTTTTTGTAGTAATAAATTAATCATTGCCTTTAACATAGTAAAATAATTATTGTTTTTAAAATAATATAATTATTTTTCTATTTAACGAACAATAATAATAAATTCATTATTGTTTTCAAAATATAGTACAATAATTATTTTTCTATTTAACAAACAATAAAGATAAATTAATCGTTGTTATTAGAACAATAAATTAATTAATTGTTGTCATTAGAACAATAAATTAATTACTGTTTCTAAAATAATAAAACAGTTATTGTTTTCCAAACAAAAAAATTATTTTCTTCAATAACAATTATTTAAATAATAATAATAAATAATAATTAACACTGTTATTAAAATAATAAATTAATTATTGTTTTCAAAAAAAGTAAATTTGTTTTTAAAATAATAATATAATTATTTTTTTCACTTTATTACTAAACAATAAATTAATTTGTTTTTTAATTAATAAATTATTTAATATTATTTTGAAAATATTAAAAGAAAATATAAAAAAAGATATATTCTTTATATTAATTTGTATTTAAAAAATTTTTAATTATCGTGATTGTGTGTTTTCGAATAAAAAAAAATTATTTTTTAATTAATCCAAGTTGAAAATAAATAAATTTAATTAATAATTATTTTCTAATTAATTAGGCCTATCACGTGTGTCACGATGGTCGTGAAGGCGATCAAGGAGCAACCTTTCTTTGTGCAAATGGAACAATATTCAATCAACAAGAATTTAATTGCGATTGGTGGTACAACGTAAAATGTGGTGAAGCTACAAGATTTTACGAGTATGTAAATTTAATTTTAATTTACTGTAAAAAATAAAAAAAAATTTATCTTCTTACTTTCCCTTGTTATGAAAAATTTTTTTTAGTAAAAAGAAGTAATAATGTAAATTAAATTTGCTAATTTAATTTAGTAATTTAAAAAAAGGAAAATAAAAGTAAATTTTCACTTTTTTACTTGTAAATAGAAATAATCAAAAAAGGTAAAAAATAAAAAAATAGTATTAAATTTTTACTTTTTTGTTTGCAGTCTGTTTACACATGTAAATAAAATATATAAAAATACATTTTTACCGTCTGTTTACATGTAAATAAAATATATAAAAATACATTTTTTCCGTTTTTTTACATGTCAATAAAATATATAAAAAAAACATTTTTACTGTGAGTTTACATGTAAATAAAAGTAAATAAAAAAATTTAAAGCTGAAAACCTAAAAAAGTAAAAAAATAAAAAATGTAAAAGCGAAAAAAATAGAGAAACGAAAAAAAATAAAAAGAACGAAAAAAAATTAATTTTCTAATTGAAAAAAAGTATTAATTGAAGAAATTTTTCAGCTACAATCTCGATCCGGAAAAAAATCCATATGTACCTCAAGCCCACAAGGAAGCAATTCGCCGTGAAAGACTACAAATTGTTGTTGTTTAGAACAAAAATTATTTATTTGACGAACGTTTTTTTTTCTCTATATAAGGACATGTGAATATAATAAATGTTTATTTATATTTATATCCAAAGATCGTGAGTGAAATATTATTGTATTTAATAAAAGTGCATATTTTTATTAATTTATTTTTTCTATATAACTATACTGTATGTAAAAATTGTTAGGTATAATATTTTGAAAAAAATATATATTTATAATTTTTATTCGTTAAATAAAGTTGATATGAAATAAAAATAATTTCAAGCTTTAATAAATTTATAAATCCTCGTAATACGATTAGAGTCATGACAAGAATGCAACTATAACAATATGTATAACAAAATGGAATTACAAATTCTTATGAATTATTAATAATTAATTATTAATTATTTATGTTTTGTACAATTGCAATTTATAATAATAAATAATACAATTGCAATTACTTATTACAAATTATAATTAATTAATTATATTTATAAAAGTTGCAATATCAAACATGTTAATAAATACATATTTAAAGTATGTGTAAATTTTATAAATAAATAAATAAATAACAAAGCAATTAAATATATACAAAAAATTTAATTATATTTCACTGAATTTATTTAAGTGGAAAAAATGAAAGTAAATATTTTTTTAAAATTCAATTAAAAAATATGTTTAAAAAATGTCAATTAAATAATATATGTAAAAAAATTCAAATTAATATGTATAAAAAAATGTAATTTATATTCAAGATGATACAAAAAATATATAACAATAAATATAATATGCCTTCAAGATACTCAAGCAATTAATAATTTCATATTATACAACACAATCAAAATATCTAGCACACGTAACATTTATTTAATACATATGCTTCGATAATATAACATTCTAGATTTCACATTTTTTTTTCTCTCTATACACTATTTTCTATTTATTTATAATAATACAAAAGTGCAGACTTCTTTTTTTTTCTAAAAAAAAAAAAATACAATACGTATTTATTTTATTTTTACAGGCATGGGGGACTAATATCAATGCTAATGAGTTCGGAATTACGAAAATTTGTAAAAATTTTTCATTTTTTTTCTCCTTCGACTATAAGAACACGTACTTAAAGCGAGGCAAATAACTATCTTTTAGAATATATGAAACTATAGTAATTGTCCAGCTATTCATATTTTATATATGTCTAAAGAACCTCATTATGTAATTCACTGTGAATTACTTTTCATTAAAATAACGCTAATTTAAATATGAGGGCAGTATATGGAAAAACTTGCCAACAATAAAGAACTTAACGTTTATAAGTCAAATTATATATATGTATATGTATATATACAAACGGGGTTATATGCATATATTGTGTCGTCTATTATTTCTAATGTATATAATTACATTACAAATACAAAAAAAAAAAAATTCTGGTTAGTTTCAAAGAAAAACTTATAAATTATTTCTTATGAATAATAAATAATATTATGACTGTCTTTTTGTTGAATATTTCGAGCTTTTTATTTGAAAAAAATAGAATTTTACCGACTGATTTATAAAATATGACTAGAAATTATTTTTTTCTATTATAAATTAATAAAAAAATATTTTAATTTAATTTTTGATTAACATTAGTAAAAATTTGTGAGAAGACTAATTTTTTATTCTTAGTAAAAATTTGTAACAAGATTAATTTTTTATTCAAATTAGTAAAAAGAAAGTAATAAAACTAATTTTTTATTGACATTAGTAAACATTAGTAATTAAACTAATTTTTTATTCACATATACAAGTGAAAATATTCTCTAATTTCCGTAAAAGTCAGTTAATTCAATTATTTTCAAAAGTAATTAAATTCTTCGTAGAAATTCAAATATATTCAAATTTTTTTTTAAATTCTCGTCAAATTTTCAATTATCTTTATAGAAATAATTAAATTCTTCTCTAGAATTAAATTATTTTCAAAAATTTTAATAAAATTCTTAGCAAAATTTCAATTATTTTCAACAATTTTCTTCAATTCAATGATTTTTAATATCTACTATTTCAATAAAATTTTCTAATGAAATTCAATTATTTAAAAAAATGTAATAAAATTCTACGCAAATCTTTAATTATTTTCATAAAATAATACAAATTTCATAGGAATTCATTTATTTACAAATTTTTTATAAATTACTTCGCATTCATTAAATTATTTTTATAAATAATAAAATTTTTTACAGGAATTCAATTATTTTCATAAAAAATGAAACTCATCGCGCAGAATTTCAATTATTTTTAATACAATTTGCATTAAATTTCTCGAAAAATGAAATTATTCAATTAAAAATTGTATATTAAAATTTATGAAAGAAATTCAATTATTTTAAAAAAACTTTGCCTATATTTTCAATACATTTTTAATTAAATTTTTTCAAAGAATTAAATTATTTTCAAAAATTTTAATGAAATTCTTTGATGCAATTTAATTTTCTTAAAAATAATTTTAATAAATTTTGTCAAAATTCAATTATTTTCAATGTCTACTATTTCAATAAAATTTCACAAAAGAATTCAATTATTTAAAAAGAAATTTTAATAAAATTCGTCTCAAGAATTCAATTACTTTCAAAAGTAATATAATTCTTTGCAGAAATTCAATTATGTTGAAAAATTAACAAAAATTCTTGTCGAAATTTCAATTATTTTTATAAATAATAAAATTTTTCTCCAAAATTCAATTATTTTCAAAAATTTTAATGAAATTCTTGGCAGAATTTCAATTATTATTAATACAATTTTCATTAAATTTCTCGAAAAATAAAATTATTCTTAAAAATTTTATTAAATTTAGTCAAAAGAATTCAATTATTTAAAAATTTCTTGATAAAATTTCTTGATGAAAATTCAATTTTAAGAAACATGCAATTATTCAATAAATTGTTTTTTTTGTATTTAAATAATTGAATTCTAGTAAAATTTTCTAATAAAAATTGATTTAAAAATGGATTTTAGTTAAAATTTTGGATTATAATTGAATATTACAAGCATTAGAGCGTGAATTTTTAGAAATAATTGAATTTTGAAAAGGTTTGAAATTAAAATCTTTGAAAATGTGAATTTTTCATATTTTTATCTTAACAATTCTGTGCAATTAATTTTTTTGACATAGTTTAATTGCGGATTTTTTGAGGAAATTATTTGAAGTTTTTATTTTCTAACATATATTTAGTTAAAGAATTTATGAATAATTAAAATTTTGTAAAATTGAATATTGAAAAAAAAATGGATTTAAAAATTGTCAAAGGAACTTCTTTAAAAATTATTTGCATTTATAGAAGAATTTTAACTTAAAAACACGAGAACAAAATTTAATTTTGGAAAAGTTACAAATTATTGCAGAAATACAATTATTTTCAAAAGTAATAATATTCTTCGCAAAAATTAAATATTGTTCAAAAATAATAAAATTCTTCTTAGGAATTCAATTATTTTCACAAATAATAATAAAACTCATCGCAGAATTTCAATTATTTATTTATTTTTAATACAATTTTAATCATTTCTCGAAAAATGTAATTATTCTTAAAATTTTTATTAAAATTCGTCGAAAGAATTCAATTATTTAAAAAAATGTTTTGAAAATATTCTTTATGGGAATTGAATTTTAAGAAACATTCAATTATTCAAAAAATTATTTATTTTTGTACTTAAATAATTGAATTCTATAGTAGAACTTTCTAATAAAAATTGATTTAAAAATGAATTTCAGTTTAAATTTTAGATAATAATTGAATATTTAAAGCAATATAGCGTAAATTTTTAGAAATAATTGAATTTTGAAATTAATTTTATTAAAAAAGTTTAATTGGATTTTTTAAAATATTATTTCAAGTTTTTATTTTTTAATACCTATATATATTTAATTGAAGAATTTACGAATAATTGAAATTTCGCAAAATTGAATATTGTTTTAAGTAAAATGTTCTCTTATATTTGACTCGGACTGGTTATATTTTTGTCAGTAATTGGTCCGTAATTTTTAAATACTGTCACTGGTTAGAGCCCTGTAAATTAAATAATAAATAATTAATTAATTAAATATTAACTTAAATGACTAAAAATTAGAAATAATTTTTTCTTGGGACTTCTATGATTAAAAAAGAAAAAAAAAATTAGAAATAAGTGCGGATCAATTTTTATAGTGATAATTTAGATTTAGAGAGGTATTTAATATAGAAAACTTTAAAGATACTGCATATGAAATAAAATAAATAAAGAAAAAAAAATATTCACAAATCTATAAATAGAATGAAAAAAATCAATAGATCTCACGTCCTTATAGTCTATTGCGAAAATTCACAAAGAGAGAAGTATTGCATGATGCATAACGGGATTATAAATATATTAGTAAAATCGAGAATAAACTAAACTGTTACTGGTCAATATCAAAGAAAAAAAATTACGATAAGATATTTAGTTATTATTTAGATTATTTATAAATAATTTTATTATTTATTTATTTACAAGTGTTATTATTTATTTATTTATATACTTACAAATGTTTTTATTTACAAATGTTATTATTATTATAAATAAAATTATAAATATAAATAAATTTATAAATAACTTTATTATAAAATAATTGTGAATATCGATTTTATAAAATTTATTATCATTTTTTTATTTTCCATTTATATATTATAGTTTTAGTATTGAAATTGAAATAAACTATTAAAATGCCGGAAGTAGGTAAATTTTGTAAGAAAGGTGACTTACGAGACAGTAGTGATAATACCGTACAGAACATAGCAATCGTTAAGCAATTTTGCCTATACGTCTACATATATATAAAACACCGCGAAGAAAATATGAACTCGTAGGTCGTACACGTGATTTCACACGAATTTAATCTCTCTCACTGGTTTGATAGATCTATCAGAAAAGTGAAGCCCAATTTTATATGCTTTACACAGCGCGATATATGCGAAAGTCCCACTGGAAAGAAGTAAATGGAGAAAAAAAAAAGATTTTACGCTATTACGAAAACAAACTTTTACCATAATACACCAGACATAGTATAACAATAAACAGTGTAACGGATTTTCGAATTAACAAACAATATTATGTGAAAATACAAACTAGAAGATGAATCGAACATGTAACAAGGGGTTAAATGTTCCTTCAAAAAAAAAAGAAGAAAAAAAAGTCGAGACGATTGTTCTTTAAAATACACAAAGCCTTTTATATTGCATTATTGGGACCACTTGTTGTGATGAAACGAATTTCCTTTTTGTAGTCTGGTACATACTGATAAAAATTTATCCCACACTGGAAACAAATTTTCAAATTAAATAATAATTATTAATTACTTTTATTAATATTTTAACTGTTATTTGAATCAAATAATTTTTTTTTCAGTGTGGTTTTTACATAAATCCGATATCGCCCCAATTTTATATCTGTACAGTTTTGTTGAAACTTTTGTTCTGTACAGCTATTATATATTTGTTAGTTGATTCATAAAATTTCCTTTATTTAAAAAAACAACATTTTTTTATTAATTGACTTCATATTTTTCACAAAAAAATGGTTCACGTCAAAAAATCGTGATTGAAAAATAAAACTGAGAGTTTTTATTAAAAAATTGTAATCGACAAATATTCATTTAAATGGGTCAAATTTATTTATTTTTTTTTTAAATTAATTAACTATGAACATTTTTTCCTTTATTTAAAAAAAAATTGGAATTTTGTTAAAAACTAATTGAGAAATAAAAATAGTGCAAATAATAAACTTTTAAAAAAAATATTGGAAATTTTCTACAGAAAATGTGATTACTATATATATAATTACAACAATGCATTTGTTTGTTTTAAATAATTTTCTTTTTCTGAGTGTAAAAGACAATAAAATAAACGACTCCTTTCTATTGGCAATTCTTTTTTTAATTCCAGGCTCTCAATTAATTATATTCTCTAAATCGACTAAAACTATTCTTTTTTGAGTCTTAAAGTTGCAATCCGAGGCTAGAAGTGTAAAAAAATGATTTAACAATATGTATGAATCGTGTGGAACAAACTTTTAACACGTGGTCCATTATATGTACATATATAGTATTAGGATAAAGAAATTTCAACTTGTAGTTATATATTTATATGTATAAAAGAAATGAAAAATTCCAAGCAATCTAGACAAAAGTTCGATTTTCTTGATATATAATAGATAGATTTGAAACATTTCTTTGGACCGATTACCTTTCCCACGGCAGATTTATTATAGCATGTACATGCACTTAAGTAAGCACGCGTATATGGCGTTATCAAGGCGTGTGATATCAGGGCGTGTGATCAGATTCAATATAACGAATTTGATGAATATTAGTAACGACAGATGCCACATGCAAATCGAGAACGAAATTACCATTTCAATCGACGATTTTTGCAATCCTGTTTTCTGTTTTTGTCATTTATTATGATTAATATTATCATGATGATGATGATGATGATGATGATGATTATTATTATTGTTATTATTATCACTATTATTATATATTAATATTTATAATTGATGTTTAATAAAACATTAATAAAAAAAAAAAATTATAATTATGCATTTGTGTCCAATTCAGAACTTTGCACTCGATAATTAATTTTAAAAAGTATCAAGAAGTAGCTTTCAAACTAAAAAAAGTAGTAAAAAAAAATTAAAAAAAAAAAAAATTAAACTTGACGACCAAAAAAACTTGTTTTATACACTTTGCAAAACTGACAAAAATTTCATTCTATATTTTATTTTCCTGACTTCATCCTAATTTTCATCAAAAAATATTGACTTCTTTCTTATCTTGATAATAAATTGAATTCTTGCAACGAATTTTATTATTCATAAAAGAATTTAAATATTTATAAAAATAATATTTAATTCTTGCGAAGAATTTTATAAAAAATTTTAAATAATTTTATGCAAATTATAATTTAAATCAATTGAATTCCTGAGAAATTTTTATTATTCATGAAAAGAATTGAATTCTTACGAAGATTTTTACAAAGAATTCTATTCAAATTCTTGACAATAATTGAATGTCTGTGTGGTATTTTATTAAATTTTTTTTAAAATAATTGAATTCCTGAAAAGAATTTTATTATTTATGAAAATAGTTGAATTCTTGCGAACAATTTTATTAGAATTTTTTAAAATAATTGAATTTCCAAGAAGAAATTTATTACTTTTAAAAATAATTGAATTCTTGTGATGAATATTGTTATTTATGAAAATAATTGAATTTTGAAAAGAATTTTATTAAAATGACTCAAAATAATTGAATATTTGGAAATAATTTTGTTATTTATTGACATAATTAAATTCTTTCGAAGAATTGTTTATGTAAATAATTCAATTCTTGGTAAGAATTTTATTAAAATCTAAAAGAATAATTGAATTCTTCCAAAGAATTAAAAAAAAACTTTTTTTAAATAATTGGTTTTTTCTATGAAAATTTAAATTAAATTTTTAAGAATAATTACATTTTTCGGGCAATTCCTGTAAAATTGTATTAAAAATAATTGAAATCCTGCGATGAATTTTATTATTTGTGAATATAATTGAATAGTTGATAAGAATTTTATAAAAATTTTTAAAAATAATTGAATTTTTGCTAAAAATTTTTTTAAAATGCCTCAAAATAATTGAATTTTCGGGAATAATTTTGTTACACTATATCCACATAATTTAATTTTTTCGAAGAATTATTTATGTAAATAATTAAATTCTTGGGAAGAGTTTTATTAAAATCTAAATGAATAATTCAATTATATCGAAAAATTTAATTAAAATTGTATTTTAAACAATTGATTCCTTTCGAACAATTTTATTAAAATATTTTTAAATAATTAAATTCCTTGGAGAAAATTTTAATATTTTTCTAAATAATTGAATTCTTCCAAAGAATTAAAAAAAAACATTCTTTTAAATAATTGATTTTCTCTAGGAATTGAAATTAAATTTTTTAAAAAAAATTACATTCTTCGGTCAATTCCTGTAAAATTGTATTAAAAATAATTGAAATACTCCGATGAATTTTATTATTTATGAAAATAATTGAATAGTTGCTAAGAATTTTATTAAAATCTTCAAAAATAATTGAATTCCTGAGAAGAATTTTATTATTCTAAAAATAATTGAATTCCTCAGAGATATTTTATTATTCTGAAAATAATTGAATTCTTTCTGAAAATTTTATTAAAATGTTTAAAAAGAATTGAATTTCTGTGAAATATTTCGTTATTTTTGAAAATAATTGAATTCTTTATATAAATTTTATAAAGATTGTTTTAAATAATTAATTTTTTCGAAATATAATAAATATTTTATGGAAATTTTATTTTAAATCATTGAATTCTTGTGGAAAATTTTATTTGTGAAAATAATTAAATTTTTCGATTAATTAATTTAAAATAGTATTAAAAAAATTGAAATTCTTCGATGAGTTTTATTATTTATGAAAATAATTGAATTCTTGCTTAGAATTTTAACGAAAATTTTTTAATTAATTGAATTTCTGTGAAAAATGTTATTATTAGTGAAAGCAATTGAATTATTGTGAAGAATTGTATACAAATTTTCTTAAATAATTGAGTATTTCAAAAATTTTTTGAAAATGACATTCTAAATTAATTGAATTCCTGTGGAAATTTTATTATTTATGGAAATAATTGAATTTTATCAATTTTTTTTTCAATAATTGAATTCTTTTGCGAAATTTGATGAAAATACTAGCTATTGAAAATAATTGAATTTCGAATATTTTTTTATAATAATTGAATCGTTTTAAAAAATTTGATTATAATTTTTGAGATTTTTAGTTTTTTGAATTTCTAGTATAGCAAATTTGAAGTAGTGGAAATTCTAAAAAAAAAAAAAAAACAAAGAAACAAATAGCTTTTAGGCTTAAAACAAAACTTATTTTTTATAGTGAAGTCTTCTGGAGTTTTAAAACTGTAAGTATTTTATTTATTTTTTCGAATATTTTAATTTTCAAAACATTGAATTAGAATTTCATTTTTTTTTTCAAAATATGTATTTAAAAAGAAAAATTAGAAACAAGAAGGTAAACAAAAATTCAAAAGACATCCGGAATACAACGATTATTAATATATGTATAGATTAAATATTAAATTATTAATTGTTATAGTTACAAATTAAGAATACTTATTAATTGTTGTTATTGTTACGTTATTTGTTATTATATTCCGTTAATTTTCAATAATAACTGTTATTAAACTTAAATGAAATAAAAAAAGGAAAATTCAAAATGTTTTTTCTCCAACTCCTTTGTTAAATAAATCTCCTGATTTTATTACCAGGATCTGTTAAGTCATATTATGTATATATACAGGAGGTAAAATAGACAATTGCCATTGACGTCATTGTAAGGTTGTCCTGTTGCTCCCCAAAGGTAAATTTAACTGTTTATATGCAGAAAAGTGGCAAACTACCCCACCTGAGAAAATATCAGTCCCAGCCATTCCCCTATAAAGCCATGAGGTGTTCATTTCCAACGAACATTCTCTCAACGTTCTCGTCACTCACTTTTCCACGCCATGTGGGTTCTAATATTTGCAGGTGAGTGTACAAAACTCGCTTGGATTACAAAAAAAAAAAAAAAAAAAAATTACCAAATTCTCAAATTAGCCCCCAAATATTGTGTATTAATTTTTTTTTTGCCTTTTCTTTTACAAAGGCTAAATCAAAATCAAATGAAAATTCAATAAAGAGAAACGAAACCTCTTAAAAGTGTTAACACGTGATATCAACGAGATTTAATAGTGAAATAAAGAAATTTAGTGATTTAATTAAAATATAATTGAAATAGTGATTAGAAAGAGTCGACACAAGGATATATTTAAAATGACCGAAAAGTTGGGAAATTTTACGGTCGAGAAAAAAATAGTGTTTTGAAAAAGAAATATGGAAAAATCCTTATTTTTTTTTGCAACATTCGGAAGAAGGGTTTGAGAAGAGGGAAAGTGAAGTGAAGTCATGTAGTGACAAGTGAAAATCAAGTACCATTAGTTTATTGGCGTTGATAAACTGATTGACGCTGGAAAGTTATGTTAATTAGCGATTCCAACTATTTTCGCTTGCACTTTTTACATTTTGATTACTTGACACATACGCGCCTCGGGGAAGGAAAAAATTCACCAATAAAAACATCGAAATTGAAAATTAAACTTTGAATGAAATAATTAAAAAATTATATTAAATTAAATAAAAATAAAAATTTCCTTATAAAAAAATTTTTAAATATAAATTTTCTTTGCTTAATTCTTATTAATTTCAACATTCAAATTTTTATTAATTTAAACATTTCAACTTTTATTAATTTAATCATTTTAATTTTTATTAATTTAAACATTTCAACTTTTATTAATTTAAACATTTTAATTTTTATTAATTTAAACATTTTAACTTTTATTAATTTTAACATTTTCATTTCTATTAATTTAAACATTTTAATTTTTACTAATTTTTACTAATTTAAAAATTTTAATTTTTATAATAAAATAACAAAAGTGAAACAAAAGAAATAGAATGTATTTAAATTTTCTGTGTAATTTGATTGAAATTTTTACTAATTTTGATTCATTTAAAAATTTTAATTTTTACAAACAAACTATAATTGAAATAGAAGAGTAGGAAAGTAACGATAACGAATAATTAAGTAACGAATAATTAAAATAATAATAAAATAATTGAAAGTTACATAAAAAATCGTTAATTCAGTTAAAAAAGTAAATTAATTATTTTGATTTACACTGCAAAGTGTAAAACTTTACTATTGTTGAAATAATTTCCAAATTTCTAAATTTCGAACATTATTTTCTCTGATATTGAATATTTAAAAAAAATACAACGCGTAAATAGTGAATAAATAAAAAATAAAATAAATATAATAATGAAGTTGGTAATAAAAAATAAAATGATAAACAAATATAAAATTAAATAACTAAATTAATAAAATTAAATAACTAAATTAATAAAATTAAATAAATAAATGAATAAAATAAAATAATAAAAACAAAATAAAAAAATTAATAAGAAAATAAATAAAATAATAAAAAGAAAATGAATAGAATAATAAAAAATAAAAAACTTATTTTAAAAAAGTATTAGTAAAAAATTAGATAAATAAATATCAACGACGAAAAAAAATTTAAATAAATAAAAAAAAGGGACAAAAATAATGTTTATGAACTAGGTAAAAAAATCAAAATCGAAAAAATAAATAAATCGAATACAGAGACTCCGATCTAACTTGAACCAATAATCAGACTTCTCTGAAAAAAAATTTTTTTTTCACACTAATTACCATTGCCACAGAAGGAGAAAAAAAATTATTTACTTTAGAAATTTATATATTTGTTTATATACATTAAGTACACTTGCATTACAACATTGATTATATTAAAATAAATTAATGTTTTTATTTATCACTACTTTTCTTTCTTCTTAAATAATACACTCCATACTCTATATATATATATACGAAATGAATGAATATATATACTAATCTCTGTACAAATTTGGAAGCAAGTTTTAATTGTACAATATATATTTGAAATATTATCCAATATGGACAAATTAATCGCGTTTACAATATTTTTCCCCCTTCGCAAAACAGTTTGACTTATTTTAATGAAGTTCGATTTTAAATTAGATACAGGAAAAACTACTTTCCATGAGCAAGGAGACGACAGATAAGTGTTGTGCGAGTTGCATTTATATTAGAAACTTGTTCACTTTTAAATAAACTTCAAACTCTCGCTTTCGTAAAACTAAATGTCGGGGATATATTTATACTATTTCGTGTGCAGTAAACAAACTAAACAGTTTGAAAAATTTTTTTTTTCGAAGCCAGATTTTGTTTTCTTTTTTGACAGATTTTTTTTTAATACACTATAGAGAATTAATCAATTTTTCATTCTTTAAAATTTAACGATCTTTTTATGTTTAAAGTAAAAATAAAAAATAAATAAATAAAAAAATAAAAATAAAAATAAAAATAAAAATAAAAATAAAAATAAAAATAAAAAAGTAAAAATAAAAATGTAAAAATAAAAATAAATATAAAAAAGTAAAAATAGAAATATAAATAAATATAAAGAAAATAATAATAATGATAATAATGTTAAAAAAGTGTATTATTTTAATGTCATTTTTAGTTTTAAATTAAGACACTTTTTTACATAATTAATTGAATTATTTTATTATTTACACTTACATTTATTTTTTATTCATATTATTGTCACAATTTTTTACAATTAAAAAGAAAAAAATAGTGTAAATTTATTTACGTTATTTATATTTACAACTATTTTAAATATAAAATTTAAATTTACATTTATTTTAACGATTAAAGAGAAAAATGTATTTTTTTAATATTTAATTTCAAAATGTAAATATATCATTACGTTATGACTATAAATAAATTCATTTACATTATTAAAATTTCAATATATTTTTAATTAAAAAAATTAAATTAAATTAAATTAAAAAGAAAAAAAATTCCACCATTTTTCGAATTATTAATAGGAGAAAAAAATTCGATACAATTGTCATAATTTTGTAATATCAGGATATGACTTTTTTTCTCCTCTTTTAGTTCAACTGTTATTTTCATCTTACACACATATTACACACGTGACCGGTTACCTTTATTCATTATATTCTGTCTATACCACTAAAGTACTTTCTCTTCCAAAGAACGGTATAATATTTGTCTGTTGGCGATGAAATTCTTTTTTTTTTTCTAAAAAGAAATGAAACAAAAAAAAAGATTTTTTTTCTTATGCATATATATTGTAATTATATATATAGTTTTTTTTCTGAAATATAAATTGTAAAATTCTTTGCTATAAATTTGCATATAGAAATAAATTAAAAGTGAAACATTAAAAAGCCGGAAGTTTCCGGAGAAATGCCATTTCACGGTGATCAGTCTTTGAGAGTCGAGCAGATCACCTGGTCTCGATATGTATAAATATATATTGGTATATTTGTATACGTATTTATAAATTAAATTAAAAAGATTATAAAAAATTATTTAGGTATAAATGAATTTTTATATGTATAATTAGAATGAAAATTATAAAAAAATTTAAAAAAAAATTATAATATAAATAAATATATAAATACAAACGTATCTGTTATGAAATATATAGAAACGCTTATATATAGACGTGTATTCTCGATAATCGAGCTCGCGGTTATACTTCCTGACTGTATCGAATTAGTCGGACCTAATTTGCATTATCCATTGTATCGCTATGTGAAGGAAAAATAGTAGGAACCATGTTTTGTTATCTTGCGACTGAAAACAAATTCGCAAGGAATTTTTATTTCCTCGCAATTAATAAATAACAGTTTCATTTTTATTTCTTAATGTTTTCTATAATCATATATATTAATAACGCAGTTTTTTCTTGAAATTTTCTTTTCTAAAAAATATTTCTTTACGACAATAATAATAACTAATATTAGGTATTATTATTTTTCATTTTATTTTAATTTTAATTTTAATTATTATTATTACTATTATCGTATTATTATTATTATTATTATTATTATTATTTTTTTTAATAAATACACTTTTTAATAAAAATTATACAATGGAAAAAAATGTATTTGATTCAAATAACCGATTAATTGACTATTATCAATTAAATATTTAATTGAATCAAATAATATTCATTGGAGTCAAATAAATAATAATCAAATAAATAAATAATCATAATCATAAATAAATTTTGCTTTTGAATTTTTTTTGGAAATTTTTTTTTGCTATGCAATTGGTAAAGAAGTTAGAATGCTAATGCTAATTAATTAAGTGCAAGTTTTCTTTGATAATTATATGTTGAAGCATCAACTTCCTAGTTTCCCTTGATTTAGGTACTCGTTCATCCTTTCACTATAGATATAATACATGTCACAATAAAAATAAATTTATGGACGTATTTTATTATGCACTTGCAAAAGAATTAATTGTCTTATTATATATTTTCAAGCTTATTTCATCAAAAATTGAACGAAACGGAATATATTTTCTGCCTAGAAATTCTTTTTTTGCAAACTTTTAAAATTTGCGTTTATTTTAATTTCAATTTTAAAGTTATTTATTTATTTTCTTTATTTTATTTCTATTTTTTATATTTCTCTTTTCTTTGTTTTATTTCATTCTTTATTTACTTGTTTTTATTTATTTTCTGCCTGGAAATTTTTTTTTGCAGACTTTTAAAATTTGCGTTTATTTTAATTTCAATTTTAAAATTATTTATTATTTTTATTTATTTTTTTTATATTTTATTTATTGTTTAATATATCGAGAGGTAAAAGAACTTTAATAAAACAAATATTAGATATTTATTAAATTTATTTTATTTATTAAAATATTGCAGTAATATTCAGTAATAATTAAATATTCTTTTTTTGTAAATGAATAAATTATTGCAAAGGAATAAACATGAAAACTTATAAACTAAAAGCGTGGAATTAGAATTGTGATTATTCGAAGTAGACAGCATTTGTTTTTGTAATCGGAATAGTATATTAAGCAACAAGAGGAG